TTGAATTGGAAGATTCAATTCGAGCTTATCTTCAACGAACTCGACGACCCTATCCAATTAGTATGGTTCTTGATCTATCCGACATCCATCGACGACATTAATTTGTTTCTTGTTTTTTTTTGTCTTGGATATTGATGCATATAATCATGTGAAACTTGATATTACAGCTATAAGATAGATAAACTGAAGATTGGTTCTTTTGTACTCCATTTTTTTGTTCTAGATAGCTATCATCAGTAACACATGGAATTCGATACAGAAGAATTAAGTAGATTTATTCTATATTTATTTACTGGACATCCCATGGATGTTGAAGATAGTGATATAGAAGAGGTGGATGTTAGTGATTTACCTAATATAGATCGACTAGAAACACGGAACAATATCGATCATCATAATAATAATGATGATGATGATGATGAAGATGATGAAGTTAATAGAAAGCACTATTTCTTTATTGTATTCAATAACCCAAAATTGTCAAAACTTTTGAAAACAAAAGTATTAAAGAAACCAGGCAATGTGAGAATTTTCTTTACATCAACGAATGTATGCCGTATTCTACTGTTTCTCTTTAGATAAATCAAGAAGGTCAACGACAAGTGCATGGAGAACACAGTGGGCTAGCTCGACCAGCACGAAAACCAATAACACAACAAGGAGAAAAAGAAATGGATTTAAATCTACATTTCAGTGGTAAAATAGAAACACTCATTAATGCATTCATGAAACATCAAACGCCACCATTTTCAAGAAAATATATTCTCGATTTAGCCCACCGATAGATATCTAATGGATATTAGAAAAAGAAAAGAAAAGAGATTGAAATGTTGTTGTGTATTTGAATAAATATATCATGCGAACACGACGAAAATTTGTTATATCTTCATTTCAGATATGAAAAAGAAATCTTATCTGATCTATTGATGACTGAAACAAATAAAGATAAACAATTAACTGTGAATGAAAATATAAATGTAAGTAGCAAATTCTTTTTTTCCTGTGAACATAGTCATATCTTTATTATATTTTGTTTTATTCATAGTGGAATACAGTCGAAGACTTCGATGATATGTTCGATATTGTCGATGATGAGAACGATACGCTTGAATATGCAGAGGATGAATTAAATAAATATTACTTGTCTGGCCATCTGAATTCAATGGAGCATGAAGATGAAATGATTGATGATGATAGATATCATAATGACTTAAATGTCATTGAAGTAAGACCTCTTTTTTTTCTAAAACGAATAAATTGTTTTTGTCCTTCAGGAAATACAAACAGAACCTATTCTGTCACAAAAATTCAGTCAATTATCAACAAAGGCTGAAGATGAACAGAAATCTGGTGTAATTAATAGAAGACGACGATCAACTACTACTATATCTAGTCCAGATGCCAGCTGCAAAAAGACAAAGCTAATTGTGGACTATGCTGATGAATCTACTGCTACTACCACAATGAGTAGCACTGAAACATATGAAATACCGATCTATCTATCGATAAATAACAAATTATTTGTTCATATGGCACAAACTATAACAAAAACAACTAGCTCTATTCATACATCAAGCAGCTAGTGTTCGAACAGATAGAGAAGTTATGAAAGCCTATTTACATTCAGTGATGGGTACATTAAAACAACCTGAATCTCATCTCATTGAAGTTGACCGGCGTGTATGGCCTATCCATGTTCAATCACTTATGTTAACACAACATAAAGCAGCAACAACTACGGCTTGTGCTAGCATTACAGAAGATCAACAAGCTGATTGCGAAAAACATCTACATCAACGTTTAATAGAAATGAATGAAAAAATTCAATATCATCAAAATCAATTTAACGAAAAGAAAAATAATTTAATCGGCTTTACATCGAACATCGAAGAAAGTATTCAAAGTTTTGTTCAAAAGCATGGCGTGAAACCATTTGAAATGAAACGAAATTTAAAAATAGCAATGATCAACCACGACTATGATTCAGAAATTTTAAGACGTCAATATCTACAAGAAAAACCAAATGAATATCAAGTAAAATCTATATTCTGTTTAACATAATAGCATATCTATCTCTTTTCTATCGTTTAGATTCAAGTCATGAAACGTCTTTCTGAAAAAAAGCGTGAACTAGAAAAGTCGAAACGAGAACTATTAGAATTGAAATATCGAGTCTTCTATAATAGACCACATTCTTCACTAGATGCAATTGAAACAACTATGCCAATATTGAATGATGATGATAGAAAACTAAAATTGTTGAATAAACATGAAAAATTAATTCAACGAAAGAAACTTGACTTTGTGGCTATTAAAATAATAGCAGCCGAAATGAAATTCTATCAATGTCTTCGAGAGTTCGATCACGAACTAGCTGCTATTTGGAAAACCCATCGTGAGCTTGTAAAAAACAAAGGAATGTCTACAACATTAACGAATCTTATTGAAAAGCGTTTGACCGGTATTACTGATCGATGGAGGGATGTCTACAATTACAGACTGAATTTTTATTTCCGAAACTTCCATGGTGATTTCGAACGCACCAATACGAATGCAGATGGGGACAAGATGAAACGTATTGGGTTTTCATTATCTTTAATGATTGATGCTATACATCGATTTTCTGATAAGGAATTACAATTGCTGAATCGGGGACCCACTTATGTTCCAACTGGTCAAATATCAATATCATCTTCGGGTCAATCTAACGATGATATTATTAAAAAGAAATATGCACCATTAAAGCATCAACTAAGTTATTTATTTTCAAAATATCATATTAATATTGCATTATCAATGGAAATTCAACTGAAGATAAGTGATCAATTTACAGAGCTTTTTTCTGTACCAATACCTTCGAATCTTCAGCAGCGTGCTCTCTATGAAAAACATCTTCTTCAATCGATTCGGTATTCTTTAAACGAGAACAATCTCATCCTACGACGAACTGCTGATAATATGAATACGTTCTATTTGGGAAATCTGCATGAGTTTGAAACAAAAGCGTATGATTATTTATCAAAATCGGATGCTTATAAGGTGCTATTGAATAAAGATACAGACAATGGCGGTCAACAATGGCAAATTGAATTGAAACAAATGGTCGAATCAATGAATCTATTATTGGAATCATTGAAAAACCATAAAGCAGTAAATATCGATCTGTTTAATCGTTTATTAGTTGATGCAAGTAAAGTGAAACTACCATATTTGTATTTCTTACCGGATGTTTCTAAAGTAACGTAGAATTAATTCTGTACGTCATCTTTTGTATATTTATATTTTATTCTTGAAATAGGAAAATGAAATTTCATTAGTACCCTACATTACATCACAACATAGTGCCACATGGAGAATTGGTAAATATCTAAATGAATTACTACGGCCATTTGTCGATAAGAACCTATCAACAACAACATTTCGTGATGAACCTGATTTCATGCGAAAATTAAACGATTATGTGTATGTAGAACGTCATCTTCGAGCAACTACTTTATTTTGTAGCATCAAAATTATTAATTATTATACATTAGATATACATAAAAATATGGTTGATACAGTTGGTTACTTCTTGAAAGATAATTTAGTTACCAATAAACTTGAACAAGTTACAATTCAGACTATTAAAAATTTGCTACATATATTTCTCTATAATAATGTGTTCTATTATAAAGATAAAATATATACATTAATGAAAGGTAGTTCAAATACGATGCCATTATCGGATACACTGTCCAATATCTTTCTATTTACATGGCAAAAGAAAATCTTGAAAGAAATAAAATCAAAGAATGAATTCTTCGGGAGGTAACATCTATTCTAAGTATATAATTTGCAATGCTTTACTTCATTGATTTGATTTTTTTATAGATATAAAGATCAAATATTCTTCACGTGGAATAATGGGAATGAAGAAGAACTTGACAGTTTTTTTACAAACTATAAGAGATAAAAATCATAATGTGCAATTCCAGAAATTAATTGGAACAAATGTACCATTCTTGAATGCATTTGTTGAAAATCAAAATGGTGAATTATTCACTCGAGTGTATCATCATCCCATTCTGTCTAGATATACATTACCGTATGTAGTGGGTCATTCGAAATTAGCTCATGGTGATTGGTTTCGATCAGCGTTAATTCGAGCTGTTTGTTATTGTTCATCGATTGAAAATTTTAATCTTGAACGTATTTATCTCGAATTGACTTGTCTGGCCAATGGCTATTCAATATTTTTTGTTGAAAATAATGTTCAGCATTTCTTCGGCTATTTTCATGCTGATACTATGCGCTATTTAAAAGATCAAACCATGTATGATAAATTTCGTCATGATTGGTTTGGATATATGACAATGCAATATGAGTTGTCTGATAAACTTCAAACATTCAATGATAATGATTGTTTAATTCATCTCAATTATCTGTACGAATTCGGTCCTAAATGTCAATTCAATCAACAATTTCATTGTCTTTGGTTAGAATCTTTCAATCAACATGCAAATCTATCAAAAGATAAAGTCAAAGTTCAACTTACGACTAAACATCAGCATTCGCTAAACTCTCTATTAGCTAGAGAAAAGTCAACATGTTCAATTCAATAATGTAGATGTTTCATCTTTTGTCCTGTAAATAAAAACTGTAAAAGAACTTGTCTGATATTCATTTGTATTTGAGAATCAATAAAATAAACTATTGATTCATCCAGTCCTCTTTTTTTTTGTTTTTGACTTTTCAAATATCAGTTTTCATGTTTATAGATTAACTATAGTAATTCTATTTTGGATAATAGTTTATTGTTCGCTTATTTACATATTTATATTTAATTTTCATTGGAAAAAAACGAGTAAGTAGTTCATTTTATATCTATAATATACAATTAATTTGTCGAATTATCTAGAACAGAAAACAAAATGAATAGAAATATCCGACAACGACAATTAAATATGAAATTGAGTGTTTTGCCAATATTCACACCACTGAGTACATATAAAATTTATCACATAAATCAATCAACACCTACGATTTTACTACAAGATTTAATCACATTAGCTAGAAAAACAACTAAATTTACTATTGATACAGAAAGTGATTACTATACAAATGAACCAGCATTGATTCAAATTGAATTTATACATTCCCAATCAATTGTATTATTGATTGAAATATGTCACCTACCTCATGAGTTATCAGTATTATTTTGGATGATACGATCACTTATGAACATAATCTTCAAACCGTCAAATGTCATTATTGTAACGATAAATATAATACCCTGACGAGTTGATGTATTAAGACAAACTGGATAGAGGTGGAGTACACTCTAAAAAAAATTGGGTATTTGTTACTATCGGAAACTCTTTTAGGGTTTCCGAGCTGTTCGGAAACCTAGAAAAGGGTTTTTTAATTGCTCGGAAACCCTAAAAGAGTTTCCGATAGTAACAAATACCCAATTTTTTTTAGAGTGTAGCTTACAGCCACTCTCGGCAATGATGTTTATTCGCTTCTTCACATATCCAGAGTGTAACAACTTCATACATAACACACTTATATATAGGAGAGAGATAGAAGAGAGACAGGAGAGAGATATATTATAACAATGGAAAGAGAACAGAAGGAAGAGGAAGGAGAATCATCGAAGCGTGCCATCAATAATCGTCACAATTATCTCCTGGGGTGACACGAAGAGAGAACTAGAAAGTTTCATTTCTTGTAAACTGATTTCAATTAAACTGATTCAGCAAATAAATGATATCGATGTACAAGGCTACTTCAATGATTGGCATGATAATCTATTAGAAAATGACTATGATCATCCGTTGTTCGATAACAAAGAGATGTTATGTTCATATTCACGTAAATCGTTGGAAGATAGGAATCATAAATGGTCACTGCAAATGGCCATTACTTATGTATTTCGAGAATTTCTCGATAAAACTCGAACGCAACGTAGTTGGAGTCGATCGCTCGATCTATCAAGGCTGAAAAGGTCTTTTATTCCTAATATGAAGCAAAAGACAATAGTGAAACAAATGATTCAATATGCTGTGAATGATTGCTTAGCAGTGACAAAATTAACAAAATTATTAGATTTAACTTAGATGATGAATACGCTTGTATATAAGATGAAAACAAAGAGCAACAATCAATCATAGGTAAGTGATGCTTGTAACTTGTATTACTTGAAATAAGATAATTTTTCTATCTTTTCTAGACTCATTATGTCTATTATGTGAATCATCGTTGAAATTTGTTATCAAAATAGCTTCTTTTTTTGTGTGTATATATTCTTCGTTCATCAATGAATATTAAACTCTTTCATATTAGTAATTTTCTGGGATCTTTTCGTTTTGAATCTAACAAATTCCCCATTCTTATTAGATATAGATATAATTTTTAAAACAACTGTCTTCTCAAAAGAATATGCCTGTCAGTTGACAACAATCATTTCAACAAGAACTTACCAGTAATATTGAATGACTATTCTTTTATTTTCACTAAAAGTCGTTTTCTTGTCTTTCTTAGATGATACTCCAACTGAACAAAAGATTGTAGATCAGCTACATCAATCACCGAAAGACGTAAATTATAAATATATCTACGAAAGCATTTGATACTATTTTCTCTCATTTCTATAGATCAATCGAACAATATATAATACTCCAACAAAACCCTCAGTCCTAAAGGAGAATCAAGCTGAAATCCATAGCCACGATGTTCAAACGAATGATGAAAGACCACCATTAGTCAACTTTTTGAGCTGTTACGTTAGTCTTACTCAGTATCAGGTAAATATTCAATACAAGACACCGAAAACATCCACTATGGTTCATTATCTCTTAAAAATAACTTCATTTTAGGAAGATAATAGTATCAATATTCCTGCTGTAAATACTCCAGAAGATCTTGAACTCGAGCTGCAGCAGTCACAAAAAGACAACGAGATACTATCATTATATAATGTAGATTCATATCTAGAACATAAGAATCCAACGAATACTATGATTATTATTGATGTACCATGATACAAAATCTAAAGATCTATGTTCTCGTCTTTGCTATCTAAAATATTTCTTTATACTGTAGTACTCTTTTGGATAATTATTTTATTCTGAAGTGTAGATCTTAACATTGCAGTTAACATGATTATTTTGTGTCTTTGTTTTTTGTGTTCTGTTCTATCCATATAATTATTATATATATATATATGTTCATTATTTACTGAATTTACTATATCGTTTCTAGATAAACTAGTACATTATTTTCAATAGCTATTATTATTAGCATGTCTTATTCACACAGTGTACCAAGTTTTGACCTTGAAAAGAGTAAGATCTTTGAAGAAAAAAAGATAAATGTCTTCAGTTTAAAAGTATGGCCAATAGATATCGATGTAGAACTACAATCAACTGTTCCAATCGAATCGAATCAAAAACACCAGATTCAAATACTAATATATTATCGACATGTAGTTCAAATGTGAATTTGAAACTTCCTTGTGCAATGAGAAGAACAACAGTAGCTCTTACTTCATCTCTAGCATTACCAGGAGTAGATATTGTTATCTACGAAAGTACCGATGAATATTAATCGTAGACTTTCATTGAATTCTAATATGGTGGAAGTAATTCTATGTGGAACTTTATTTTGTATTGTAACATATTGCATTGAAATATTTTTGAAAATACCACATAATAAATATGTATCTATTTCTCTTTCATTGCATTGATTGTAGTTAGGAGGATGTCATAAATAGTGAACATGGTTTAAACCTACCGAATACACGTGAATGTCAAGAAACAAATAAAGATGATACGAACTTACATACTATGACTGATAGTTTTCTTTACATTGCAGATAATCTTCATGTTTGCTTGGCTATATCAGCATTAGCATGGTGATCAAATTATGTTGATCACCCTTCAAATGAAAAGAGACATGGTGGATTAACCAGTATCCATACAAATCGAAATGGGTGTAAATGCTCATATTTCCACAAGCTCAGCATACATGAGTAACTGCAATGCTTCATCGAGTTGATTATGGTAATCATGCAGACTAAAGTGTTGTTATTTTGATTAGTCAAACCTTTCATTTGATGAGAAATATCCAGCAATAAATAAATATCTCATGTATTGATATATAGAATGATAGATATGAATCAGAAGATGAATATAAATTTGTTATCATTATTTTTTAATTTTAATTCTAGATTTTATTTTATTTTATTTTACAATGCGTAATTTATCGTTACACGACGAGAACGATTCAAATCCTAGCACAATAAAACAACACTCGGTAATAATCCATTTCATAATAGTCCATTTATACTAGTATTTTCCTTCTTTTTTTCTTAAAGAAATATCGAGCAATGTTCGATTACTCATTGTCAACACCCTGGTATCGAATAACAGCTGGGCCATATTCGAAACAAGTTGATAAAAAGCACAAACTTCTTAAACATCCATTTCTAATTCAATGGAATCCGATGGACAGAATCGAACATCGTAGAAATCATAGTACGATTGACTCAAATCCAAAGCGAAGAAAAATAGACGATTAATTGAGTTTTTTTCTGTTATCTTTTCCTGCTATGCTCTATAAACTGTGTTACAATGAACTGTATATTTATAGAATAAAAAATAAATACCGTATCATTTCTCTTTCTTTTGTAAACTACGGAAAAGGGTGAACAGGAACCTCTTTGCTGGTAGTTTTCTGTAGGACATATATTCAATGTGGAATACACACAAGTCACATACGAGTGCTATTTGCAATTATGCTTCTATACTTTTATAAAAATATAAAAATAAATTAGGAATACTTCTTGAAAGGTGAGCACTCAAAGCATTTCCTCTTTTATATTCTAGATCATAACATCTATAAATCGATGCCTTCATCAAATCAAAGATCAACAAGTACAACTAATCGACCATTCACTATTGTTCTTACTAATAATTCAGAATTGATGCAACATACTTGTACATTTCAATTCCCGGTAAACTATAATAATTTCTTTCCACAGATTACACATCAAAGACACACAATACATCCAGTTCAAAATGGTGCAAACAACAACAATGATGATATTCCTGAACAGTTATTAAATAATCTCTTAGGACTTGAATTGTGAGATGTAGCTCGTGATTATCTTTCTCGAACATCGTGATCTTATCCATTTCAATGTGTATATGATATGCCCGATATTGAAACACAACAATCGTGATGTCAAGAATATTTAATTTCGTTTAGTTTGCATTTTTCTCTGAATTTTGTCTTTATATATGTCTAATCTACATTGATCATTGTATCACTATTACATTATTGATGGAGGCGAAGCAATATTGATTTTTGACTCGTACGATAAATAAAAAGAAACTTGGAACTTCGACTATCAGAGCATAAACAATTATTTATTGTAGATTATCGATTAAAAAGAATGGCCTCATGGAATCGATCATTCATTTATGGTCAGCCAACAACAGCAATTACACAGTCACGCTATTTTTTGATTACGATGACTAATTATCCAAATGTATTGTTACGTACACAACAGTATCAAGAACCACCGATTCAGGTACTATGAAATGACTATGTAGACAGTCATCTCAAAAACTAGAAATATAAAGCTTGATATTTACGTTCTGTTTATTTTATTCTAGCAATATATACAACACTATCGGGGTGCCATATTCATACCCAATACATCCATTCGAATCGGCATCGATGGTTCGGAACAATATGAAAGATTCTTATATACTACATTAAGATTTGAATTAGAAGAATCAATTCGAACGTATCTTCAGCGAACCCAAAGATTATATCCAGTTAATTTGGTTTTCGATCTATCGAACATTAACCAACAAAGATAATTTGATGAGTGAACAATCTTCGTTCAAACCTTTGTTATTGCTATTATTCTTCATTTTTCTTCGTGTGCACATATATGTACTACTGTAAAAACTACTAATCTAGATTAGAAATAGAAACTAAAACATTATTGTATTCGAGAATATCTTCGTTCTAGCTCAAACCTTATTTTCTATTGTTTATTTTTCTAGATTATTATTTTCATCGAACAATGACATTTATGGATAAATAGAGCTCGAATTCTAATGAATACAAATGATGGACTAAAATATACCTTTTATTGGTTTTCCAATGATATTTTTTGAAACAATCTAAATAAAAGCATCTATAAGAATGTTAAATAATATGTGGACATTGATTCAATTTGTTAGATTTTTCAGGATTATTTTAGATATTAAAAGTTCTTGTGTGATTTATTTATGGCTGCAACAAATAATGATCCCATTTCATCCATCAACAAAAGTGTAAGTGTAAATTCTTTTCTTGTGGGTGATGATTTTTTACTGATATTATCTGTATTAGATAGATACAATCGAAGGATTCGAGGATATCTTTGACATAATCGACGATGATAATGATACATTTGAATATACAATCGCAGAGTTGAATAAATACTTCATTTCTGGTCATTTGAATTCAATTCCAAATGAAGAAGAAATGACCGAAGTAAAAATATTTCTACAAAGAATAAACAGCCCAAAAACAAATCATATTTTCTTTTCATGTAGGAAATACAAGAAGAAGCGATTTTGCCACAAAAGTTTAGTCAAGTATCAACAGCAAGTGACGATGAAGAGAGATCATTTGTAACTAATAAACGACAACGGTCGAATGTCGCATCTAGTCCAACTATTAGTTCAAAGAAAAGGAAAATAACTAGTAATAATAATAATAATAATAATAATGATACTGATATTTCTACAACTGAACAATGCCAAATACCACACATCTATTGATACAGAATAAATTATTTGTTCATATGGCTCGAACCATCATAAAAACAGTTAGATATATTACTATGAATGATATCCAACAAATGACTCTTTTAATGCATCAAATAACTACTGTTCAAATAGATAGAGAAATCATGAAAGCATATTTACATTCAGTGAAGGGTACATTGAGAGAAGCAGAATGCCATTTCATTGAAGTTGGTCGACGTTTTTGGCCCATGCAAGTTCAATCATTGATGTTAACACAACATAAATTAACCATGAATGATACAGATACTACTAGTAAAACAACAACACCGATGGAAATCGATACAAAAAATCAACAGATTATCTGTGAAAATCTACTTAATGAACATTTACAAAAAAAGAAACGACAAATTGAATACTATGAAAAAGAGCTTGATGAAAAACAGAGTACTCTTATCAGATTTACATCAACGATACAAGAAGCAATCGAAATTCATGTTCAAAAATATGGAATAAAGGCACTTGAAATGAAACGAGATTTAAAATTAGCATTAATCCACTATGATTATGATTCAGAAATGCTGCAACGTGAATACTTCCAAGAGCAGCCAAATAATTATCAAGTGAAGAAAATTTTAATCTCCTAAAATATTAATAAAACCATACTTTTTGTGTCGTTTAGATTGAAGTTGCTAAATGTCTTTCCACTGCGAAAGTTGAAGTAGAAAAATCAAAACGAACTTTATTGGAACTGAAGTATCGAGTCTTTTACAGTAAGCCGTCTGATTCATTCGATTCTTCTGGAACATTGATGCCAACATTAAATCATGATGACCAACGCCTATTTGATAAACATGAAAAAGCGATTCAAAGAAGGAAATTAGATTTAATGACTGTTAAAATAGCAGAAGCAGAAACAAAATTCTATCAATGTCTAAAAAGATTCGATCATGAATTAGCTACTATGTGGAATAACCATCGTGATCTTGTGAAAAATCAAGGAATGACTACAACATTAACTAACTTGATCGAAAATCGTTTAAAAAATATTACTGATCGATGGAGAGAGATATACAATTATAGAATTAACAATTATATTCGAAATTCCTACGACAATTTAGATTCAATCAATACAAATGAAAATGGTCAAAAATCGAACAATAGTGGATTTTCATCTTTTCTAATTATTGATGCTATACATCAATTCTCTGAAAAACAACTACAATTGTTAAATCGATGGCCAACTTATGTTCCACCTTGTCAAACATCAATATTATCTTCGTGTCATTCTATGGATGACATTGTTGAAAGAAAATATGCACCATTAAAACATCAATTAAATAGTCTGTTTTCAAAGCATCATATTAATGTTGCATTGTCTTTGAAAATTCAACAGAAGATCAGTGATCAATTTGCAGATTCTTTTTCAGTACCAATACCTTCGAATCTTCATCAGCGTGCTCTCTATGAAGATCGCTTGATTCTATCGATTCGATATTATTTGAAAAAAAATAATCTCATTCTTCGAAGAACTGCTGACAATATGAATACGTTCTATTTGGGAAATCGCCAAGAGTTTGAAACAAAAGCGTATGATTATGTATCAAAATCAGATGCTTATAAGGTGCTATTGAAGAAAGATAAAGGCAATGGTGATCAAAAATGGCAAACTGAATTGAATCAAATGGTCGAATCTATGAATTTATTATTGGAATCATTGAAAAACCATGAATTCCTTAATGTCGATCTATATAATGGATTATTAGATGATGCAAGTAAAGTGAAATTACCATGTTTGTATTTCTTACCGGATGTTTCTAAAGTAACGTAGAGTTGATTCTGTTCTTTATCTATTGCATATATATATTCTTCTTCAAATAGGAAAATGAAATTTCATTAGTACCCTACATTACATCACAACATAGTGCAACATGAAGAATGAGTAAATATCTAAATGAATTACTACGATCATTTGTCGATAAAATCCTATCAACAACAACAACATTTCGTGGTGAACCTGATTTCATGTATCAATTATATGATCATATTTTTACAAAGCATGAACTTCAGTCTACAACTCTGTTTTATGCCATAAAAATTACTAATTATTATACATTGAATACACATAAAAATATGATCGATATAGTTGGTTACTTCTTGGAAGATAATTTAGTACCCAATAAACTTGAACAAGCTACAATTCAGAACATTAAGAATCTATTACATATATTCCTCTATAATAATGTATTCTATTATAAAGATCAAATATATGCATTAACAAAAGATAGTCCAAATACGATGCCATTATCAGATACGTTGTCGAATATTTATGTATTTGTATGGCAAAAACAAATCTTAAAACAGCTACAGCTAAATAACGAATTCTTTGGAAGGTAATAAATCTTCTCAATATATATAGCGGTATGCTTCAGTTGATTTGACTTTTATAGATATAAAGATCAAATATTTTTCACGTGGAATAATGGGAATGAAGAAAAACTTGGTAGTTTTTTACAAGCTATAAGAGACAAAAGTCCTAATGTGCAATTCCAGAAATTGATTGCCTCAAGTGTACCATTCTTGAATGCATTTGTTCAAAATCAAAATGGCAAATTATTTAGTCGAATTTATCGTCATCCACTTATTCAAGGTTATTCATTACCCTATGAAGTGGGTCATGCAAAATTAGCTCATAGCGATTGGCTTCGATCGGTTTTAATTCGAGCTGTTTGTTATTGCTCGTCAGTCTAAGATTTTAATCTCGAACGTATTTATCTTGAACTAAGTTGTCTTACCAATGGTTATTCATTACGATTTGTTGAAGCTCATGTGCAACATTTCTTTAATTTTTTTCATCTTCATCCAATGCGTTATTCAAGAGACCAAATCATGTATAACAAATTTCGTCATAACTGGTTCAATTATATTAAGATCCAACATGAACTCTCTGATCAACTTCAACAATTTGATGATAAGGGTTAGTTAATTCATTTGAATTATCTTTATGAATATGGTGCGAGGTGTAAATTCAATGAGCAATTTCATCGTATTTTGTCAGAATATTTTAATCAACATCCAAATTTATCAATATCGAAGTGTGAAATTCTACTAAACGCGATAAACGTACATTCTTTAAATGTTCTATTATCTAACCAGAAATCAATGGTATCATAGATTTTTTTGAGTATATGTATTAGTAAAACCTATGATGTTGATATTCGGTATAAATAAATAAAAACACCGTTTATTGACTTGTGTGTTTCTGCTGATTTAAAAGACTCTCCTATGCTAGAACGTTTATATAGAACATTTTCTAGATCAATTCTAATTATCACGTTCTTTTTTTTATAAAACGTCAGTGTCCAAACAAAGAACAGCTGTGTCAAAACGCGTATTAGATATTGTGTTAAGCATATTATAGGTATTTACTCCAATAAATAATTATGAAATTTATCTTATAAATCAATCAACATCTCCTATGTGATTACATAATTCGTCTGAACTAGCTAGTAAAACAACTGAATTTACTATCGACACAAAGCATCATTATTATGCAACAACAATCAATAGTGTTATTGGTTCAAATAGAACATTTACCGCATCCGCGCGGGACGCTATTCTGGTTGATAAAATCGCTTTTAACGGTAATTTTCCATTCAACCAATACTCTATTTTCATTTTTTAATATGGACTTCTCACAGCAGAAAAGCTGAATTAGATAAATGATAACGATATACAAAAAAACAACTTTTTAAATTGGCATAATAATATACTGAAGCAAGAATGTGGTATTCGGTCAATATCTCATACTGATGTATGCTACAAAACACAGCGTTTATGTTCAATGAATTCCCCAGATAAAAGCCTAACAGAAAGCAATTGGAGTCGGAATCTTGATTCTAAATTAATAAATACTTGCCTTGGACTAAATCGGAAAGATAAAAATAACTTTTTTCATGTCTTTTAGGTCGATCTCTTGTATTGTTTAAAGCACAACAAAACTTGATTTTTATCATTGTTATTTTTCATGTGCACTATGTATTCACTGTTTATTTTTTTATGGAATATCTTAATCAAAATAAATACAATATAGCTCTTTTCAATGCAGATATCATTTATAATATGTAAATCCTTTTCAGAAACTATGTCAAAGTGTTCACAGGACCAATATCGAAAGGAGACAACCACTAATAGAAAGTAGTGAATCTTTCATTTTCAGTCGACTCTATTTTCGATTCTTCTAGATGAATTTTCTGTAAAACAAGATAACAATGATCAACAACAATTGTCATCGATTCAAGTAAGCTTAAAAAAATATATCTACGATTATAATATGATGAAGTTTTCTGTCTCTCTTGCCTAGTCATATTCATCATCGAATGATACTCCAACAAAAATATCTACACTAACAAAAAAAGAAGATATCATTCATAGTCAAGAAGTTCAAGCAGCCGATGATATGCCACCTTTGGCAAGTCTTTTGAGCTGCTTTGTTAGAATAGAACGATGTCAGGTAAAATGTCTACATGATAAATACAAAAACAACCGCAATATTTCACTTGCTTTTAAAAATTCCTTTTCAGGTAGATAAAGATATCTATATTCCAGGTAAAAATCTTGAAGGGAATCATGAGCTTCAAGAGCAAGCAACTGAAAAAGAACAACACAAAACTACATTATCAGTAGAAACGAAAGGAACACTATCATTATACGATGCAGACCCATATTTGGAAGATAATAATTCAATGAACAATATGATGATTATTGGTTCACCATTGTCGCAACCACTAAATTTTGATACAATGGAATAGGGATAATGTCATTAATTCATTGAAATGTTCATTTCTATAACTATTTTGGCATGTAGTGTAGATATCAGATCAAATCATCATGTGTTTTCTGCCACTATTTGTCTTTTTTTCTTGCTTCATCTGTTTTCCATATCACTAGTACTCCTATATTTTTGTTTTACTACACATTCTGCATGTTACTTGGTTTATTGATTCATTCATGTTATATTCTAAAAAAAAACAATCATTGTATTGTAGTATCCCAGATGTTTTGCCGAATCTATCATATTCAATATCCATTTGGAATTTATTTGTATCGATAGACCTTCCTTCTACAATAGGAAGAACAACAGCAGCCATTATTCTATCTCTAGTATTTTCCGGAGTTGGTGTAGTCATCTACAAAAGAATTAAGGAATAAGAGTTTTCTTGATAAATCATACTAGAGTTTACATACTCTGCTGGAGAACATTATTTATTTGTTGTTGTGTTATCTTTGCACTTTTTTTATGAAACTATTTTCGTAATCGAAATCGCCTCTAATTATGCATATATATATATTGACTTTATTCATTCTAGATTTAAATCTAATCTTTGACTAAATAATTAATAAATGAAGCAAAGCAACGACAGATATAACCTTTTTCATGAAAGCGATCTGCTGTTGCAAGAGGGTCAACATGACACAGTGGAAGTGATATCACCAGCACAGATACATGGTGAAGAATCAACAGATATTGACAATAAAAAGCCTAAATGTCATGGAAATAAGAAATTACAGCGCTTCAAACGAAGATGGAGAATCTGTGGTTTGAATGAAGAAGAAATTGTGACATTGATTAATACAAAAGGTCATGATATATCTGAACAATCATTAAACGAGTCGATGATAAATGATCAAATTGAAACGTTCAACAAACGAAAAAGAAGCTCATCAAAACAAAACCTATCAAACAAATCTTTAATATCAATGAGCCAGTCATCCATGTCACAAGGAGTTTTAAAAAAATGAAGAATTCTCAGATTGAAACGAAATCATCTATTGATAATAATAGCAATCGCTTGAATGAAAATGATGATATTTCTTTTTATAAGTCATCGCGGTACTTGAAGATGCCACGAAAGTTTCTTTTGAAGTCATTACGCCTTCAATTGAATTGCTCTATAAAAAGAAAAAAAGAACAACGATTTACACTTTCACGACTTGAACTATTTGACAAACAATTTTGTTTTCATCAAATTCATCATTTGTATCAAAAGTATTTGGATTTTGGTCTGCAGTATCAGATCTGGCCAGTCAGTTGAATCTACTTTGTTTCAGTTCATATAATAGTATTACTTTCATTTACAGAATGATACTGTTCAAATAATGGAATCAAATGAAAATGATAGTATTCAGAAATCGCTAGAAGAATATTTGATACTGTTGAAAAGCAGAATCAATCAGCATGAAAACGAATTAATGATGCAGTTATCATCTTGTCCGACTACATTACATTCTCTAGAGATGATAGATCAGAGATTGAAAGAATTTGTTCGTTTACGTCATGTTGATTTAGTGAGAACAGTCAACTATCAAAAACATGAATTAAAAGACATTATCTATGAAAAACGATTGTTTAATCAATTATCTTCTTACCACCTAGCTGAAGTACAAGTGAAAATAACGCATCGGATCTTTTCTATTATTGTTTTATGTTGTCTAGCACCAAGCAATCGATCAGATCACCACTATCCGCAAGAAGCAGTTAAAGATTTTCGAAGATTTGACTATATTCGAACAACGAATCTTATGCCATTCATTACCAAAAAGATTTGATGACATTCCAATACTTACATATCAAAATTTATTTGGAAATGAAGCTAATAAAATTATGCAAGAATTGAAGCGTCGAAAACTTAACGACCAGCTGAAAAATTATGAATTGAAACTTCAGCATTATGAAGATTTGTATCAAACAGAAATCAATACATTTGAATCTAAACTCATACAAACAAGCTTAAATCATCAACATATTCAAGCAGATATATATTCATGACTTTATTGAAATGCTATTTGAGTCATTATACCAATCGATTAATACGTCAAATTCGTTACAAAGAAGCATGTGTCCATGTAAAATTAGTACGTCAGCATCGTCGTCATTTATTATCGAAGCAGCAAATAGTCGATGTTTATCCACAAATCATTGTCGACGTGTCTAAAATATCATCGAATCGAATTCAATTAGATTATCTTTCCAAAAGTGGTAAATCGATACCTTTCTTTTATGGTATTATCTCAATCGTTAATTTATTCTTATATATTGATGTCCGGATACGTTTTCTATTTCAAGGACCTAATTATATCAGATCAAATCAAAGTTCTCTTCATTCTTATAAACATGAAGAAAAACATGTGCAGCAAGAACATAAGAACATTATGAATGTGATAACTCGTTATCTTATCCGTGAGCATCATATTCCACTAACAGCAACAATTATCAGAGAGTTTTCTCAACACTTGGAAACAAGTCTACATCAACAATATATGATTCCATTGTCTTATCTAAACATATATCGAACACGAAAAGAATTCAAACTAGTGAAATCGATTCAACATAGACTAAAGAAAGGAAACTATATTCTTCGCGAAACAGATAAAAGTGGAATTTTTCATATTGGCAATTCAGTTGATTATGAAAAGAAAGNTCTTGATGTATTCATTCATAACAGTAAAGGAGCTTTAAAAACTTCAGTGTATCATAAAGAAGCAGCTGAGCCGTATGTCGTACCATTTGGATCAGATCACCCTGGTCATGTTTTCCGAAACACTATTGATGCTGCTATTACGAAAGCAGTTCGTTATTCAACAACTTTATCTCAATTCGAAGAAGAAATACGACAAATGAAACTCATGTTTCTCTATAACGGGTATGTTCCCTGTATTCATTTATGTTTTTCACTCTTTTTATGTGACTTATAGGTACCCGCCAAGACATATCGATCGGCAGCTCACTACATTATTCAGTAAATATTTGTCCATATATTTCATTTTGCCTATGCTCAATAACTCTGATGACTTCGATTATTTACGTCATCAGCTATTGACAACATCAACAGATAAAATATATAATAGAACAGTCAAAAGCTCAACTACCGATCAAACCAGTGACAAAAATATGCAAAATCAGCTTGTGCAACCTACAGACAACAACGAAATAACAAAAAGCAAAAGTCTCATCATTCATAAAAGACATGAGCAAAGACTCACCCAAAATCAATATCATATTCAAGGATTGTGGATGCGTACTTTTCATGGAACCGACGTCACCAATACTGCTCTAATTTTCGGTACTTGTTTGAATCGCAACTTGAAACAAGAACTGATGCCAAAGATGATCAAATCTAAACGACGTGCGGCAATCAGCCAAGAGATCACAACGCAACATGAGACTGGTAAACAAACATAAAACCTTCAAGCAAAACTAACCAGCCACTAACTTGAGTCATTCGGAATTTTATACTGTGATTTAAAAATAAATAAAACATATCTCAATTGAAAATAACACATGAATTGTAATAGTAGATCTTAAAACTGAACAAATCTGCAACTAAGGCACAAAATATCATCGCCCTAATAGCTCGTTCTATAGCAGCATCGTCACGAATGTGCATCTGATTCCACTCCAACAACTATTATCATAAAATGATCTCATCATTCACCTTTCCAGTACACCAGCATATCATGTGAATAAAAATGTCAACTTGGTAGCTTCTTACTCATACACAGTTAATTATCAGAAATAGACAACGTCACGACACCCTATGCAAAAATGCAACGATAAATAATTCCGAAGTACTGAGCAGTCATTCCCAATACAATTGCTTCTCACATAATTTCGATATCCCAGTATGACTCCAATGACAATGACGTTCCTTCCTCAGAATTCATTTTGAAAAAAATCAATAGGATGCATCCAAATGCCAAACGAATAAGTCATTCTTCTCATTTTCTCATAACTCAAATACTTCCGAAAAATTCAGCTACCAGATGAGACCGCTACGCAAGGGCGAGACAGGGTATAGCTTCCACTCAAAACAAGCTATTCATTACGCTACCGATTGGTCAAAGAAATATTTACAGTTGTGTTTTATGCAATTCTTGGTAACACTTTGATTTCTACAAACATTGAGTAGTTTATCTGTGATCTATCGATCAATGGAACAACTACCAATACAGAGCCATCGTTCGTACTACAAAATCACCCTATTCAACGATAACTAATATTGTTTCAAATTTTCTTAATGATATTAAAAATCAGAATTCAGATTAAACAACATGTTCGTTTACCTACTCGCACTCATCGAACAGTAACAATAGTATTAAAGCCTTCTGATGAGACCCTTAAGCAAGGTCGAAACGCGTCACGGTTAGCTTTAAAACACACCCACACCCGAGACCCAGCGTGTTGGTTTGTATCCTTCAATAGAGATATAGATAAACACGTTCAATAATAATTCATTAATGTATAATTCTCAAAAAGTCAAATCTGAAAAACTGGTTTGATGAAACAATCTTGACTTAAACCAGAGATTACACGCAAGTTCAAATGTGAAAAGCAGAACCAATGTGAAAAAATAAGTGAGAAGAAGAAAAGACAAAAAATATATACAATTGAAGAAATATAACATAGTAGTAGAGCGTCGGGGTAGCTCAATTGGTAGAGCAGCCGACCGGTTATCGGAAGATGCGTGGTTCGAGTCCGGCTCATGACAGTTCTCTTTTGCTATTTGAATATATAAATAAATTGTATGTATGTATGTCCTTTCTTCACACCCACGCTATGCTATGCAACCATTGAATTGTACTAATCTATCGCTGAAGAAGCGAGAGTCGAGCCCCAGCGTGTTGGTTTGTATCCTTCAATAGAGATGTAGATAAACACGTTCAATAATAAGGCGAAATCAAACTCTGCATTTATTTCAATTAATTTTTATTCAAGTACATTAATTATATCGTTAATTTTCGACACAAAAGTTGGTTGCTGAAAATCAAAGATTGAGACTAGCAGATTGAACTTGTCTTTTCGTCAAAAGATAGACCAATCTGTTTTCCATTGATTTAAAAATATATATCTATTACTTCTTTTTGGAATGAATGGATCTGTTATGTATCTAGCTCTTGTTTGTGATTTTCGAATCATTAGAACAGACTCTATATTTAATATAATCAAAGCCGTCTGATGAGACACTTAACCAAGGTTGAAACGCGTAACGGCTAGCTCAAAAACACACCCACGCCCTCAGCCAACTGATGAGTCCTTTAGCAGGGACGAAACGCGTCTTGGTAGCTATTACACACCTATACCGTGCTATGGATATAGGTTCATTTGGTGACGACAAATGTACCGGGTGCGCATGCCGGGTTGGCTGTATGATTTGTGGAATGCATATGAAAATATGACCCACACCTCACACACCCAATCATACGAGAATAAGAATTTCTTTTTATATATATTGTTCAAAGTTGTATGATTATGGATGCTATAAAATATCCAATAAAGTTTTTATTACAATAAATCAGGTGCAATTCAAAAGTCAAAAGAATTCAGTTCTAGTCGATTAGCTTGGACGTAATAAAAGAGTAGAAATAATTAAAACAATGATACTGATAAGATTGATTGGTGATCGTAATGTGCCGATATTACATACAACCGATTGACAATCATCAAATTTAACCTCGAACGAATTATCATCTTCGACTCCTTTGACACCAACGTAGAGAAACTCTGATTTTGTATCGGGTTGGCTAATCACTATTTCCATTTCATCACTGGACGCGCGTGTTTCCATTGAATGCGATTTGAATAATGAAACAAATCTTTCATAGAAACTTGATGTCTTTGTTTCATAATCAATAAAATCTTGTGGGTCTTTCGGATTTCGAGTATTGAAAGAATAAAATAGCTTGACTTTACCGTTAAACAACTTGACTGTGATCTTTATTTTGTTACCAATTATTTCAATTTTAATTTTTAAAAATTTATATTTATCTTTACCAATAGTACCATTTACTGTTGTATTTCCTGGTAGAGGAACCGGCTCTGAACATGTTTTTGATGTAAACTGATTTATATTTTGCTCCAGTGCCGCATAGTTAGCAATTGGAAAGTAATTCTCCGTCATTGGTGGCGTACAAATAGCATGTAATTCAATGAGGTTGAGACTTGAGCCAACTCCAACGCTAACCAAATGAATACCTTGATCTTTTAAAACTGCAGCCGCGTTTATAGTATCATATTGGTTGTTACTTGCACCGTCAGTTATTACAAATATGACCCGTGATGCACCTTCTTCTAGTTTTCGAAGGCCATTGCTTAAAGAAAAAACTCTATCCATTGCTTGAAGAGCTGCAGATGTTTGCGTACTTCCTCCATTGTACACTGATGTATTAACTACTCGAATCTTTTCTTCAACAGTATAATCCCTATTAAGATATGTCAAAACTTGGGCGTTACTTGAATACTTGACAATGCCAACATGCGTTTTATTTGGACCAACATTAACTTGCCGAAGTAACTGACCAACGAATATTCGTTGCTTTTGAAAATCAGCCGTACCGATGCTACCACTAGCATCTAGAACAAATCCCAAATCCATTTTAAGCTCTTGGGAGCACGAATCCACGCAACATCGAATATGAGAAGGACTATCAGGGCATTGTGGACCTATTTCACCAGTGCATCCACAAATTTCGCCTGATTCTTCAAGACCTTTTATACAATAGGGTGTACAAAAACCTTGATGTGTAGCATTGAACTGACACTTTTGCCCTTGGCCAGGATATAAATCGCCACCGCATTCCAGTCCTCGTAAAAACTTTGCATATTGTTTAGCTGCAATGGGGAGCTTCTCAATACCACCAGTTATCTTGAACCTGTTTAAACGATTAACAATAAAATATTAATCTTATACAAAATTTTCACATACCATAGCACGGAAAATCTAAGGAAGGTACCATCAGCATATTGTGTTAAAGGCGTTCCTAAAGACATATAGAATTCGTTATATGGTGATTTTAGTCAAATAAAGAAATATTATGAAAACTATTCAAAGGTTCACTTACGGTTTCATTTTCTGTCTGAAAATGTGGATAAGGGTACTTCTATTTGTGACACCGACATCCACCGTTGAAAGCGTCACTCATGTCTGCATCCTCATCCACACTTTTATCCGCATTAATCCTCTTATCACAGTCGATATTTGTAACTTACCATTTTGCAAATTAGGCTTTTTCCACATTGTAGAAGCAATTATCATTGCATTTTCTATGATTGCTGCTGTTTCTGGTTTTGTTAAAGTTTGATACTTTGCCATTAACTTTTCGAACTCTTCATACATAGTTTTCCCACGAAGACCAAATAGTCCTCGACGGCGAAATCGGGATCCGTCGCCCGTTTGCGAATTTCCATATTTCTTGTCATCACTAGCAAATTCATTAGCTGTACCAATAGCTTCGTCATGCGTAAAGTCGTCTGTCATTGTAGCTGCAATGGCTAAGAATGCAGCCTTTGCTTGACAATTATTGCAGATACCGGCATCTGAAATCGCTTTACTAAGAACTTGTCCAAGGAAGTTTCCACGAGTTGAATTGTATAAAGAAGTAAAAGTGCTCTTTGACAAACATTGCCAGCCTGTTGTTGGCAATTTCGCTGGAATGCAACAGCTTTGAAGTTCACAAGTAGGACTGTCTAGTAGAGCTCCTTCACAATCCGCAGCTACTGAGCAGTTACCTTTGATGGATTCGTCATATCGACCATGGCATTCTCGTCCATCAACGTAAGAAAAAAGTATAGCGAAAATTAAGAAAATCAAAGCCTTCATTTTGATCAACTTAAATTGTCTTGCGTTTATTTCGTTTCAATATATACCTGCAGCAATGAGGTATTTATTGTAGATAAAAACTAAAGGTATCTTCTCCTAATATTTATTTCGTTGTCAAGAGTGTGTCAAACGATCTTATCTGACTCCTTAAAGGGAAATAAAAAATATTTCGTGTGCGAGGGAGGAGCAGGGGTGGTAGAGAGCAAACACGCCCTCACTTATCATGAAGCAATCAAATGTCAACTTTGTTATGTGCAACAAATTTATGGTTGTTTTTCTTTATCGTCTTGCTATAAATTTTAAATTGATAAGGAGTCAAAGATTGCTGTCCTGGGGTGTGGGTGTGAATGTGGATGTCCTCGCAGGTGACGGCTATCTACACCTGCATTCCATACACGCACATTGGCACCCACGATCACAACCAGATCGAACCACCAACACCTCGCACTCATCGGTGTATGTTTTGCATTATTCTAGTCTCATCGAACCCTACACACTGGTGAGATATCGACAAAACGAAGTAGGTTAGTTGGAGATCTTTACTTGTTAGTCTCGTACCCTTACGTGTTTTCTAGAAAGATTCGCACAATTTTGAGATATGAACCTTCAAAAAGTTTCATTTTTATGTTGTTCGACCAGCAGTCAGTTAAAAATTCTGCAGTGAGTATTTCGTGTTCCAAAATGCTCACCAAAACATCATGAATTCTTATCTTATCCGTTGGCTGTGATACAATATGTCTTCAGCGTCACATGAGTTATTCACAAAGAAAGATAAAAAAATGGATTGAAATAGATGCTACTGTTCTTCTTGAGAGAAAATTCGATGCTCTTGCACATCGCATAGTTGACTAGTGGGCTTCGTTTGCATAGTAAATATTTGATAAGAAAATCGATAATCATGTACTTAGTCAATTTTTATCAATGGATTTGTCCAACTTCCAAAGAAAGAGACAGTCGATAGACAGCTGAAGTGAGATTGAGCGGTAAATGTTGTAGTGCAGTTTGTGACACTTTGATGTAAGCCGATTTCTTAGACACTTTTATATATCGTAACTAACACTAGTATGGTCAGACGAAACTTCTATAAGTTTGTATCAGCACTCGAAGTCAGGCTAATTTTTATGGCTTAGTCCGACTCTTACTGCGGACCAAGATTGTTCGTGTCCACCCGGTTCGACTCCTACTTATTTGAGCCCAGTCCTTTTGGTCTTAGCAAATCGAACTCTGTGCGGTGGTTTTACCGAACTCGTAAACAATTTATAAAATTTGACAAATAAAACCTATTTTTTATCATAGTTTAAAATCAAAGGAAATTTACATTTAAGCTAAAATATCAGATTTGAATTGGGTTAAAAACACAACCATGTGGACTATTTGTCTTAACAAAATAATCGATCCGAATCTAATTCAGCGACTCTTTTGCTTGAGTTAGTATCAATTGGTATCGTATCTGAAGCATGCAATGCATTTTAAAGTCTTATAATGCTGTAATTACGATTTGCTGTGCAGAAAACTCTGCCAAAAAGGACCGAAGGTTTAGTTTTTAATTTGTGGCGTCAGAAAAACATGCTTCAAACCCAACATCAATAAAACTGATCAAAAAGTTAATTAATCTTCACTTAATCGAGTGAAAAACTCCGTGATTCAAATCGATTTTCCCATTATGAGAAAAAATTGTGATTCCGACTGCCTGACAAAATTTCAGACACACCGGGCCTATCCCATTGTGATGAGACCATCCGACCCAGAACGAAAATCTCTCCGAACCAAGTGACTGATTGCGAGGCCTGCCTCAAACAAACGGGGTTTGGTGGGTGAAGGTGTGAACGTAGAGAAGTATCCAAAGCCCACCCACATCCACACAGCTACACTCTCACTCACCCACACCCACCCACACCCAAACACTCGACATGTTATAACTTCCAAATGGATGCATATTTTAAGATAAGTTATTAAATGTGCTTTTGAAATTCTATGTTACGTTCGCAGAAACTCAAAAAATAACAGAATGCTACTATAAGCAAGAAAAGTTTTTGGCATGGATGTTGGAGATGAAATTAATTTTTTCGCAAATTTCAATCGCAAAACTTTCTTTATCAAGGTTCATTTTTGTGACCCAATATTATGCTCCGTAAGTTTAATTTGGGTCCAGTGCTCTGAAGCTGATTTGAAACATATAGAAAACTCTTGGCTAGGCTATAGACTGAAAGCCAAACCAGAACTCAAAATGATATGGTACTCTTAACTACGTCAATTTCCGAATGAAGTTCTTTGTGCATTATAAATTATTTTACCACTGTCATATCAATATCATGCAAGAAAAAGAGAAAAACTTCATTATTATAGATGTACCAGATCTGTATCAATCCTTGTCTCACTATAAGAGACTGACACCTGCACCAGAACTAGGACTGCAAGAAAACCAATTGCTTGTATTAGAACTGAAATTAAAAGTCAAATATTCAGAAATTTTACACGAATTACCTTCTAAATCATTTCAATCTGAAGATAATTTCAAGAGAGAAAAACAAAATAGTGCTATTCATCAACTAATTAAAGGAATGAAAACATGAATCGATTTTGGAATAGTATTGTTCCAGACCACCAGGAAAAAACTTTTCTCAGTACTGAGACCGAAACAAAATTGACCAAGACGATAGCAAAAAGTTTGTTTTTGCGCATCCATTTTTACGAATCTCAATCTTCAATCTAATCCAATCATTTTCAATATTCGTAGTATCACGCATATAACACAAATATAAAATATTCAAAATAATCTGTTTGATTCTGAAACTCTTGCAAAGAATTACTAACCAAAAATAAGTAAACAAATACTCAATTTTTTAAATAAGTTTAGTTTTGTTTTTCTTCCTACACGTTGCGTTTGTTGTTTTTAAAAAAATTAACTTCTTGCTTTCGCCGCATGACAACACTATCTATTTCGTTTTTATCTACGTCGCCTTTTCTTTTGAATTTCATTTTAGATAATGACTTTGTTAATAAGCACTACACAGCAAGAGCCGACGATTCACGTAAATAATAGAGGACTACTAGCACCAAACTAAAAGATCTGATTCTCATCCCATAAAAACTATTTATAAATGGAGTACACCGATCCATATTAATGGTAGAAGGCTGTAGAAGTGGGTGTTGCTCTTTTCCTAATCTGCACGCTACAGTCACAGCCACATTCGTCAAGATAATTTTCAACTATAAAATAGAAGTGTGTGAGTGTAGGTGTGGGTCAGCCTGTATGAAGAGCCTCACCCATACCCACACCCAGCCCTGTTTAGCACATGTTTGATGTTTCAATGTGTACGTTTAGTGTGTATTTTTATGTTTTATGCCTATTTGAAAAATGTTTACTAAAACACGGCAACTCAAGTATACAAAGAGTAACGCTTGTTTAAATGATTCGGGTTTATGTTCGACGGAACATTATGTTTTTTCATTGTTACAATATATATTCGCATTAGTATAGTTCTGTTATAAGAAAGCAAAAACAAATTCTGTTGGAAATACAGAATAAGAAAGATTCTCCTTCTGATGATAACCGATCCACATTTTCTACATCAAAAAAGCTATACTAACTAACTTTTCCAGTTCAGCATGCAGACACGATGGATTAGGTTTGATCTGAAAGAAACGTTAAGCAGAAAAGCCATAGTTTTAAATAATTCGCATTATATTGACTTAAACGCATATGTCTTCGAAGCAGTATTTTCACTCGTAACATTGCTCGATAACCACTTCAAAGACTTCCTCCCAATGAATGTTCTATAAAACTCTTTCTTGTAATTCGTTGATGGTAGAATATAGAGAATACAGCCCAGAACTTGTGGAGCATAAGAAAACAAATAAGCTCCAAGTAGTATATGATTTTGCCAATCACTCAATTGAATGCATGCCAAACTGAATGCAAGAATAGCTTGAGGAAGAGCAGAAAGAACAATGATTGCTGGCGTAACATAGAGTTCTTTTTGAGCTTTAAATTGTCTCATTAGCGCTTTGTCAAAGTTCATTTTATGTCCCGTCGTCTTCGCTCGACTGCGTGCAGCCAAAATAAGCAAAGCAGTAATGCAAATTATTTGGATGAAAAATGGAAAAAGATAATGAATGAAAGTAGTGCTTCGATTGTAAACAGAGATCAGATTTGTATCAAAATTTGTTACACAAATCGATGAACTAGTGGAGAAATGTTGGATAACTGTATTATAGATAATTTCATGTACATGCATATCCAACAAGATAACCAATGTGAAAGTACTAATTACAGTAGCTAACCAAGGTTTTTTTTAGAGCAGATGAAGTTGGAAAGAGAATGATTAGAAGACGGTCAATAGTTATCCAACTGGCCAACCAGTAAGTTGATCGTGTCATAACCGAAAGAAGATAGGAAATTACTTTACATGATCCAACACCAACGAATCCAAGAGTAACTTGAATGAATCTGAAAACCAGACAGGACAAAGCAATTTGATTGAGACAGCTTGCAGTTAACAAATAATAACCGACGCCAAACTTACGCGGTGTAGGCCGTTTAAATGTGATGAATGAACAGAAATTATTAAACAACCCGATGATGAAAAGAAGGCCAACTATAACGACATAGACAATCTTTACTTTTTTCGAATAGCTAACAAGAAGTGAATCGAGAGTAAAACCAAATGCTTGCAAACTAAATTCACATCGATGTCCTTGATAACAAGGTAGACAATGACAAATGAAATCTTTGGGATTTTCTAAATCGCCTTGCAGACATGCTCCTCCTAAAAAACATTGGTGACAACGGTCATGTTCGATATTTTTGATAAAGCATTCAGCACGGTAACGATCATGTTGACAAATACAAAAATAGTTTTCATCATAAAAACAGAAACTTAAATTCTTATTTCGACAGATATGATGATATTTGAAAACAGACGGGACAAATGGATCGATTCCTGAAACTAAAATTCGTTTTACGTAAATATTATTATTATCGATAAAAATGCAAACCTTCTGGTCGTAAAATTGCAGCATGCGGACAATGCTGTGGCGATGAAGTTATATTGATTTTCTGCTGCTGATCCAAGAAATATATGAGAAAATATTGCGGATGTGATAGATCTTCATAGAGTTTGAGAATTCCAAGTGAAGGTGCATCGACATTAAAACGGTAGGATATGATTGACGACGGTAACTCGGTATAGATCTGCTGATCCAAAATGTGAAGCATCAAATTACGATGATCATAGTCGTAAAACTGAACGACAACAGCACGAATATGTAACACTGTTGTCATGTTCAAATAAATATGAGCAGTTACTTTCTCATTTTCGCAGTTGTATCCATCGAATTTCGATGAACATCTGCACAGATAAGGATTCTCACCACTTCGATCATAATTAGAGAAACAAGTTCCATTGTTCAAACATGGATTCGAAGTACAATCTTCATATTTCAAATTGCAACGTAATCCAAAATGATCTAATGGACAAATGCAATAAGGGCTACTTTTTCTTGTTCGTAGATTGAAATCATCGGGCCGACAGAGTGCATTTGCTGAACAGTATGTCTCACAAATAGGTTCGTACATACTACAATTTATTCCATAGTAACCACTTTTGCACGAACAATAATAAGAATTGTTATGATTGAAAACTGGAAGACAAATAGAGTTCTTGTTGCAACTCGTTTTCGAATAAGGATTAAGAGTTAAATTTCCAAACCAAGATGGAACTTTTAATACCACGGCTAAACGAAATGCAGGTAGATAGTCGAAATAAATGGGATAATGCCATGATCCAATTTCTTCTAAATTGTTATCACCTTTCAACGCAAAAACATCAAAATGAATTGAATATGGATGATCATGAATTACATCGCTTCGATTGAAATAACGCTTTTGCTTATGCGCAAGCATTTCCGAAGAACGTGAATAAAGTAGATAAAATTTATGCTTGATGAAATAGTTTCTTTCTAGCATTGGGAAAACATAGAATTCATGATGATAAATGATTCTATGGTTAAAAAGAAAATTGGCTTTAATTTTGAATACACGATCTGATATTGTCTTTGACTGTGTTCCGTGCTCAACACGTGCAATGATACTGATTCGATCATTGAAGTATTGACACCAGTCACCATAATAAGCAGGTGGGCATAAACATCGTGTTTCATTTATATGAATAACAGCGATACCTCGCTTACATTGATATGAATGAACTTTGGAATATTCATAGTTTTTACGACTGCTAATAAACTCTGATAATTGATGTCGACTGATGTTCAATGTGGTTTCAGAGGGATTGAATATTTGAGAAAGAATTTCATCGCGTTGCAATGAAATTTGCTTCTTGCTTATACGATATCCTGTTATATCTATAAGAATACCAGATGGACACCAATATTCATCTTCTCCATGCAAACAGTCAGGACTTCCATTGCATCGCACATTCTTCCTGCAACGATTATCATGGAGACAAAGGAAATCTTCCTTGCCAGAGCATGATCTATTATTATTTTGATCATTTAAGCAATGCATCTGGCTGCAGTTACGGCCCTGTATACAAACATCTTGGTAGGTCATATCTTCATTATTGCAACGAAAATGAAAACCCCACATGCGTCCTCCTCTCAAATTTGATATAAATGTATTTTTTTCATCGTAAGCATTATAACAATTTTCTACACCATCACCAATTTGAGTAAGATTAATGCATGGACGATTCAATTGAATGTCTAAAGGATTTGAAACACCAGATAGATAACAACCAAACTCCAAAGACATATTGCAGATTTTCGAAAATGTTGCAGTCGAATATCGTTTGCGACATTTTTCTAACTGCAAAGATAAATCTTTCAAATTTCTATTGTGAAATGACGAATTTTCAATTACTACAAAAGCTTCTTCATCAGATGCATCTGAACAATCCCATTCACCGTCACAAACCCATTCAACTGGAATGCACTGCCCCGTTCGACATTGATATTGACTATGCTGACATATCCAATATTTGTACGAAGAAGGTATCTCGTCTATGTATTGATCTGAATCCCAGAAAGTATTACAATAATATCGAAACGGCATGTGATATGTTGATTCTTGTTGTTGATGACCAATGAACAGACTACTATTGCTCGAATTCTTCGATGATGATTGATGAATGTATTCCATCACATGAGGACAATCAGTGGTGATCCGTTTAAAACATGGAAGCTGATATCGAAGAGTAGTACCAATACCGAACCAACTTTCATCATAACCATTCGAGCAGTCACTCATGCCTGAGCCCAACTTTTGTAATGGAAGACATTTATGTTCATTATTAAAACACTGAAAACGATGTCGTCCTACATTACCCGTACAATAAGTCTTGTCAAGTTGTCTCAGCTCATCGTCACCATCCATGCAATTAAAATCTCCATCACGTATTCTATAATTTGATATACACTCCTCCCTCAGTACATATGTCGGTATAAACAGTGTATGGGCGACCATTAAATGTTTGTGAGTCATTCCAACAGAATCGGTCATTTTGATGAGAAGATGTAAAGTTTTTATATCCATAATTGGAAGCAAAGCCTGCGCAGAGTACATGATTCACGAATGGATAAGAAATCGCTGACATATCTATCTGTAGTGAAAAAAAGCGTGTTGTCTGAAAAAAGAATCCTCGGCATTTTATGTTTCCAGCAAGTAGAAAAAATTGAGGCATTGGATTTTCTATAGAGCGAGTATAGTTGTACATGATAAAAAGGTTTGAATTGATTAATCCGTATGGCGGATAGAAAACGAGATGGTCAGCTCTTTCACATACATTCACCATCATTAGTGTACAATTTTGATGATTACATGGACAATCATGCTCAAATCCTTTCGTCAAAGCACATCGAAAGAGATACTGGCATATTTCGTCTATGGTAAGATTTGATGCTTTAATCATATTCCAAGGAGGATATCGAGGATCATCATAATTTTTATCTGGCCAACATAGTCCATTTTCGTTTGTCCAAGTTGGTCGATGTTGGCTCAACTCGCACATATAATTTATATTACGTTTATTAAAACAGTCTTTTTGTGCTTTGCCCAATCGTTGAAATGCCATTCGAGTTTCCCATGCTACGCACTGCCCATCACCGCATGAGTATAAGTCATTTGAACATACATTTTCATCACATTCCATCGCATTAGCTTGAAACGGACAGGTTGTTCCACGGTCAACAAAGTATTCGTCGGTTCTATCCATACAATCGAAATCACCTGTGAACATGATCAATGGAATAAAGAATTCTTACTAGAATCGGCATTACTCACCATCCAACCAGAATTCTTGTGAGATGCACATTCCATTTTCACATCGAAATTCATCATCGTCACACTCGTTGAATTCTAATTTGTCACAATTTTCTTCAGCGACACCATTTGAACATCTTTGTATACCGTCACAAATCTCACGCCAGTCAATGCAGAGAGGGCTTGAAGAACAAGGCAATGTCTCGTAGCAGAGAATTTTTCCATATCGTTGAGTGTTCCATGAATCATCATCCGTGTCTTTGTTTTTGTTCAAACTGCCTTTTAACAGCTTCACTAAATTTTTTTGAATCATGCGTCAACTGATACTCACAATATTTGCCAAATGTTCTTGCTGTACATTTACACACAAATTGGTCCTCATTGTCATCAATTAATGATCAATTATTGAAGACTTTGCTATATAAATCTGTCATTTCAACACTCGAACTCCATTTGAAGACGATACTTGGATGAATTTCTCTTTTGAGCAGATCACCGAACATTTGCTTCTCTCCTTGATTGATACATTCATCCTTATGCGGAAGGAATAGCTGATTTTCACTTGCACGTCGACAATACAAAATTTCTTCTCCGTAATAAAGTATATAATAGACGCAGTCAAATTCCTCTGCTAATTCTTTATTTTCAGTGTTGTAAAGTAGAACTTGGCTATCTGCAACGGCAAATATGAAGACCAAGATTACTACTGTAGGAGAGATCAACATTTTCAAACTAATTCATAAAAAAAATCGATATAAAAATACAAATATTTGTGCTAATTTATTTGTGAAGAAAATATAAAGAAATGGTGACGAAAGAATCACATTTGAATGATTGCTTTACAGGTGATACTATTGAATCTTATCATATTTCATCGAATGATCACGTGTGAAACAATAGTAATGAATAAATAGTAAATTAATTTTTTTAGTATTAGGACATGTCCATGAGGCTGAGGATAAGGTGAGAGTATGAATTAAGCTAACTATGAATCATTTCGATCTTAATTAAAGGCATCAATAGATGAGGGTGTGGGTGTGGGCACCTGTAATCCTTTGCTCTAATACCCACACCCTCCGGTGCGTTATTAATTGTCATCACGATGATTATGTCACGAAACGATTCAATATCTTTCGTCTCTATATCCTCCCAGCGATCGGTATTATCCCGGCTATTCCATTGTTCTTTTTATTTCTCGTAAATGTTTGTTTGATCGACAATTCGACTAAAAATTTTTTCGGTGAAAAAATTCCTGAACACTAAAATCGGTGTTGCATCTTTGGGAGAAATTGATGTAAAGCCTCCATTATATGTATGAATTTCGCTTATAGAATCAATGTCCATTTCATTTTCATTGTAATATTCACTTAATACTTGAAGTCTATCCAAATCATCTGCTAATTCATCGTGGTGGAAATCGAAATCACTCATATTGCTCTCTTCATTGGCAAGCGAACTACGTGAGTCATCGTCAAGTTCATCGTTTTTAAAAGATTCCATCTGTGAAGTTGCAATTACAAATAGAATTGATAAATAAAATATAGATGTAATTTAACTTCTTTTCAAAGAATAGCGATGTATTCTATCGACTGTAGGGAGAATCATAAGAAATAAAATGCGTTTGTCTGTCTCCCTGTCTGTTTGTGCCAGGTCAAAGAAAACAAACTTTTCCAAAGGATCTGAAATTTTTTTGAAAAAACTTTTTCCCTTTTCTAAAGGAAAGGATCTTCCATTTAAAAAATGTATACATGTTTGTCTGTCCCAGTTGATCAGAAACGAGCTTTTTTATTTATCGGGTTTTTGACTATTCTGCTTAAGCTTAGCTGTAGGTTTTTCGGTTCCAGGGATCCAAATCCAAGGTCGGATTTTTAATCGAAGCCTTTATTGATCGAAAGAATGACCAATGAGAAGGGAGCTTTTCAATTCATTCGCTTTTTTAGCAAGCTGATGAAACTTTGCCATAGGTTTTCAGGGTCGAAGAGTCTGCATTGAAGGTTGACTGTGGCGCGGTGTGAGTGTGGATGTGTGGGTTTGGATGAACGGATATGGATGTGGATGTGGATGTTGGTGTGTGTGTATGTGGGTATCGGTTGTTGAATGGGTTTGCGTCTAGGTGTTGATAATAACAGTCCAGGCACGCGCATACGCACACCCCACCCACCCTCATCTGGCTTCCCTTTAGTCAAAAAAATCCATCAATCAGAAACGCAATTTTCTGTTTTTCAGAAGTTTCGTTTTAATTTTCCGGTGTTTAATGCATGTCAAATCGTCGAACTTGAATTTGTATTGACTCAAATGTCGATGTATGGATTCTGTTTTAGAATACGATTAAAGACACTTTGATTTTTTTGTTTTAGGATGTATGATGTATTTAGAGAGAGGATAAGTCGGGAGGAGTACCAACAACCGACCCGAAGCTGGTTCGTTATTTTCAGGGGAGAGCCTTTTTTCAGAAAGATTTGCGCATTATTTCATTTTTGAATTGAGAATATTCAAACGAAAGTACACAGATATTTGTAGCATCCATATATTTATTATGTCAATCAGCGCCTAATAAATATCTTTAGTAGAAGAACGAAATTGTAAACATTTTGAACGAAGCAGTAAAAAACCCAAATGGAGATGAGAACTTTTACTTATTACTTAAGCTGATCCCTTTTCTGACAGAAAAGGTTTTACATGAGAAAATGTTTGTATGCTTGCTTGTTTGTCCCAGCCAATCAGAAACGAGCAATTTTATTATAAAGTTTTGGAGCCGTTTAATGAAACTTCGCTGCAGGTTTTTGAGGTCATATAGTTAAATCGAAAGTCAGTTTCTCAAATGTCTTTTTTTTCATTGTTTTAGACTGCTATTGAAAGTACTGTACCTCTTGTACTTGAACGTGTGATGTATTGAGAGGACCTGCTTGTCTTTAGTGTTATCCGAATTGATTTACGGTCTTTGTACCAGATATGAAAGTTTATTGTGCACTTTGCTTGAAAATGCATTGAAATATCTCACTTACTGTTTCCTGATTTAGAAAATAAAAGCACTGGTTTATGTAAAAAGTAGTAGTCAATACTATCCGCTGTGTCTAAGGGTAGTGCGATATTCCGTTTCTTTAAAGAAAGAGTAGTAGATGAGGGAGTTTAAGTATGCTCTATTGTTTTGAGAAATCAGATTTTAGATAGCATTATCCAACAAAAAGCTTTCCATTTGTAAATTTTGAGGCTAAAAATTGAATCGATTGGATAATTTTATCATGTAGCCCTTGGTTGACTAAGTTTGTAGGCTTCCAATTAAGTCAATCAGATGTTTTTTGTGTGTGGGTGTGAACTTTGGGTTAACTGTGGGTATTGGTATAGATGGCGGGACGTGTTGGATTGGGCGAATGTCGGTCAGGAATATGGAATGAGTATGGATGGATGATAGTCTTCGCTCTGTTTCCGTGTACATCCAAACTCATGCAGAAAGTTAAAGTACAACAATGATTATACTATTCACTTATCTTGGCATAGAAGTAGATTATAAATTTCTTCCTAAAAATATATGATCTATAAACTTAAGTCAAAAACGTTTTTGTAGGAAAATTCTGCAGAAATAATCGATGTTTTCTTTCAGAAAAGGGTCAGCGAGTCTGTAGAATGAGCGCTACCCTGTCAAATCAAGCCGAGTTTTGGGTTAGATGAAGTGTAAATAAAACAGAATGGTTCTGTGGAAAAATAGAACGAAACATGACAGCAGTTAGGTGTGAGTGGCGCCGACGAACGACTAAACGCTGCATTAGAAAGTTCCCTGAAGAAATGTTTCAAGCTATTGGTATTCATCAAATAGACATCAAGAGTCTAGATCATACGGGTTTGAATAAAGAGTAGCAGTTGCTAAAAATTAAGAAATATTTTGAAATAAAGTGGGAGAATGCCTTTTTTTGCACGTGTGAGATATTTGAACCGTAGATTTGAGGGAAAACATTATTCCCTCGACTGTAGGGGAGAGTCATATGAAAAAAACTAAAATGCCTTTATATGCTTGTATGTGCCAGAGTCAAAAAGACATCTGAGATGAAGCTTAGTTAAGCGTAACTTCAAAAGTTTCACCATAAGTAATTGAAAACGGGAAATCCGAATCTGAGGTTGAATTTTACATTTGACCTTCTCCTTAGCTGGGAGACTGATCAATCAGAAATGAGCTTTTTTATTTATAGACGTGATATTCATTCTATCGGAATGCTATTTGAATGAAATAGAGGGGGATTTCCTTGGCGGGATGCTTTCTTCTCGATACTGATTCAAATGTCTAAATGTATATGAATATATATAGAAATTAACTATATAGTCTGGTGGCTAATATGAGTAGAAGTTTGTTTCAAGTATGTTAGTCCGATTATAGGTCAGACCAAATGTGATCAATTTTAAGCTAGAAGTTCAAGTAAGCCCTATTTTGCTAGCGGACGCTCTAGTAAACAATGTTGTCGGTAGATTTGTCAGCAAGTGAACAAAATTTTAGTCGAAGCTTTAAGGAGTATGGCGCGTTTACACGAAAGTGTCGCGAATGAGCTTTGCTTCAGTATTTCTCAGAAAACTGAATATTAGCTCCTTTTTTGGGTACATATGGATATCGTCGTCATAAGGTGTTTCTTTAGATTTATTGTTGAGTGTCAATTTGAGGGTATCAATTTTATTGGATGCATTTATGACAAAATGCTCATCTGGGCCCGCATACAATTATGCGTTACTTATTCTTCATTTTTCAAATAAATATCTTAATAAGAATGAATAAATATATCAATAATCAGTTTGACATATTTTATTATCATAAGGATGATCTTCGTATGTAGAACAGACATAAATGTAGAATCTAATTCTACATCTTAGATTTCACAGCAGAGATGCCCACAGGACAAGCTTGTATTGTGATGCCATGAAAACATCAAGCAACAATATCCACTGTAAAGTGTTTTCATTTGCTCTGAAAATATAAAGTTACAGAAAAACAAGAAAGATGATTTATAACAGCAGACTGTTCGTTCTGTTTCTCTGATTATTTTCCAAGTGAAATAGTAGAAAAAGAATGAAAAGGAAATCACGAGAACAGATTTATGTTTATTGGTACTCATCCGTGATTTTCTTATTCTTTACTACTTACATTCAAATCAAATAAAAAGATAAACTCAACTTCTTTATTATTTTTTATTCTCCATCTAGTCATTACAATATGTTTATTGTTTATCTATCACTAAGAAAACAAAACAACAGTTTCTGTATTAATACAAATCAGATTTTTTTCTCTAGCTCTTATGTTTATCACATAAAAATATCACACTGAAATCTTGTTAATAATCTGCAGCACAAGATACAAAAACACCATCCTAAAACTGTAAATCATTATTTTTAAATGTTATTGATTCATTTTATAAATATTAATTCTTTAATTAATTATTATTTTGTCATCTATTAAAAATTGACAGATAAAAGAAGAAATTTTGTCATTTTATTAATCATTCAAAAAGTAGTAAATTGTTAGTAATAATTACTTAAATAAACTAAGTAAGTTTTGAGAGACATTCAGAATTTCTACGTGCTGCTTCTAATTCATGGCCAGATACGAGTGCCTTATAATGTGTACCAACATTGACAAGAAATGCTGTATGTTCAACATATCCATCACGTGGATTAACAACAGTAAGTAATTCTCCAGCACGAAAAATAACTAATTGAATGTGATATTTTTGTGCTATAGCCATATTAGCCATTTCATCTCCATAGGTGTTGGGGTCAGCCATTGATTTTGCCCAATCTTTCAATTCTTTCTCACTTACCTTTTCACCAGGTCTTAATACAGTTGAATAATAATCTATATTATTCAATACTTGTTCAATAGCACGTTCACGTAGTTCGCTATGATAGACATCGGATTGATGTAATCCTACATTTAAATAATTTTTTTATAATCAGAATTGTTTCAATAAACATACCAGATATGAGAGTCGCACGAAAGGCACATGCCTTTTAATAAGATGATTAAAAGAAAGAAAAAACGAAAACTAATTGTAACTATGTATGTATGTCTATTCTTACTCCATCACCAGTAACTTCAACAGAATGAATTCCAAATTGACGACGTATTTCGAGATCAAGTTTGTGTAAATCAATATTTAAATTACTTTTTGCTGCATTTGTTAATTGAAGAAGACGTTTGCCATCTAAATCTGATTGAAAACGATCGTTTCTTTCAATGGCTGCAATAATATCTTTCATTTGATAATATTCATCAGGTATTGAATCAAGTTTTTCGCATGAAATTAATTGACCAAGTAATTCAAGGGTGTGGGTGTTAGTTTCTCTTTCAATACGTTACACACCCACACCCGGTGCACCGTTCACCAGTCCCATGCGGTGAAAAAGTGAACGAATAATCGTCACCGTTGCATCCCTAATTGGAAATTCGCATTTTCGAGAACATACAGTCAGGCATGTTTTATAAAATATGCCTGTCACATCTGAGTACTTTTTTTCACATAAACCTGCCAAGATGCTTCTCGAAATAGACGCAAAAGATTCTAAAGTCACTTTCAACGCGTTATCAATTACTCCTTTTCTGTAAGCTGTTTGTTCGTACGCAATCGTATTCATTTCAATTAGCTAGACACTAATAACTTCGTTAATGATATACTTCACTTAGGCATGCACTGAGCCCGAACTTTCCGTGCTCGGTCATTCCTGGTGTCTAAAATGCTGGATTTAGTTATTTATCCGCATGGCCAAGCGTTACGGAATTGCATTTTTTCAAATTTCAATATATATAACTTCATTATAGTATCAGCAAACGACCTGAAACTTTTATTGCAAATGCAGTTTGACAAGATCTATTATCAGTAAAAATTTCATCTGCCTCTCTTCGACCATAGTCAACTTATCCAGAAAATAGTAACCGTTAGGGAATTTCAAAAAAAATTAACTTTTTTTACAATAGTCGCGAATAAATGAATTTTGTGCAAAAGAAAGAAAGATTTAAACGAAAGCTGCATTCGAAAGTTGCTGCACCTGTAACAGCCTATTAGAATATCAGGTGGTTTCTGATCCACCTTGGCTTCATCAAATAGGAGAGCTTAAAAAAGCGCTCGTTACGGAATTTCACTTTTTCTTAATTTCGACAGCGGAAGGTTTGTGCACGTACCATTTAAAGCGGTAAATATAAAATCGGTCTTCATTCGTATACATGCGTAACCAACACATAGATTTACATTTGTAGTGTGATAGATTTATTCGAAGAATAAAATCGGATAAAAAATTCAACTATTTAAAAAGAAAATGCAATGTAAGAAAGTAAAAAAAACATGCATTTTTCGATGAAATCCCTCAATAAACTCCGACAGCATGTGCCAATCGGGATATCTGAGTTTCTAATATTATTCCTCTTATAATTTTCAACAATCTTAGTAATCTGTTGCTAATACACTGCTGATCTTCGGGAGAGTCTCTCACACTTTCTAATTTTAAACCTTCCCCAAACGAAAGCGTTGATTTTTGGCCACACCGTTATGTATTTTTGTCATAACTAGGGACGCGGATAAACTAATACAAAACCGGGAATGACCGAATCTCGGGAACAACCGAACCCAGGAATACCGAGCCCGGGAATCTCGGTCCGAGCTGGGTTCGGTGCATGCCTAACTTCATTGTGAAGCAGTTCCATTGATACAAGTCAATTTTTGACATAACCAACGAACTTAAATAACTTCAACTGAACAAAACTTATTCTTCTTACCTTCTGTGATTTATATTCTTGAATAAAAGTCTTGCTCCTTCTTACCACTATCCGATCATTCTTTGCATAAGATTTATGACTAAATAAAGATAAGACAGAATACTTTTATTTCAACATTGCATGCATCACAATAAAGGTAAAATCTTTATGTCTTATCTTTATTTGACCATATATTTGATGCGAAGTATATTATTATAGAAACAAATAGAGAGTAAGGCTTTTATCAGGGAATATCGTCATACACAACACAAATGTCACCACCGATACATCTTATTCTGCAGGGAAAAGTGCTATTATATGTCGCATCAAAACTTTATCGCATGGTATCTTTGTTGCTTCAAGAAGGTTTTTCTAATGAATAAATGTTTTCTTTCTTTTTATATGACAACATTATACCATTCTTTTCCGTTCTATGATCGGGGGATATGCAGAATAAACATGTTTCTACAGATACATTCGACAAAAAAGAATCGAGGGTGTGGGTGTCCCTGTACGTGTGCGTATGGATATTCTCAGAAGCAAAACACCCACACCGAAGAGTTCAGAATTGATCAGGGACTCTTCGGACTCCTACAACTAGGAATCCACTTGCAAGCATTACGGTTAAGAGTCGTGAAGTTGGTAAAATAACGAGGAATTTACGATAATGGCTGATTTGTCGTATTATTAGGACGCCTCTCTGCTCGAATAACTCAGGAGGGCTGCTGGAGCAACCTTCATCATATATCTTTCGTATTCTTAGCAGCCTCACCGCTTTCTCACCACTGCATAATGTGCTATGACTAAACGGTTAAGCTGTTTGGTACATACTGTATTCAAAGGTCGGCGTTATCAGGCATGGAAGAACCTTGAATAAATCACTAAGGACTAATTGTGTCGGATCACCCGTGCGATAGCATATTTACTACATTGTGACATACATTCGTCCTTGTGGCTAGCATGGGGTTAGTCGGTGTTTACTGAAAGTGGAATGAGCGGAAAACTATGAGGCAGAGTGGCTTTCTCTCCAGAGCTGCAGTTAATAATAGTTGTAGGGGAAAATATCGGGATTTTCAAATTGTCTCCTACCAACAGCCTATATTACAAGGTAACAGGAAGGCGAGTATATTACTCTTCTTCTTCTTCTTCGCACAGTTGCATTGCTACCTAGAACTCGTGAACTTCTTCGCACTCCTGAAACTCGTGGAAGTGTTCTGCTCATTGGAAGTCTTGGGAACTAAGGACTGCTACGTTAGCGAAGAGAGCTGTAAATTCGCGCTCTCTACATTAAGTCGAGATTGGACCGTATGGGATAGTTATAAGATAAAGGACGTTTAAATGGTTAATAGATAAGGAATGTTTAGATGGTTAATATATAAAGGACGTTTAGGTAGTTACACTAAACATTCCACCAGAGTCTAAGTTCGTCCTACATGGAAAGGGTAGCATCGTTAGTACGTTGGTGACGAGAAGGCTTTCTGCGAAAAACCCTAGTATTTTTGTCTCCGGCTCGGCTGAGGGTGGGGTGTGGGTGTGAACGTGGGCGCGACTGTTGCGGGTCCACCAGCATACCGATCTAGATTATGATCATACCCACACCCAACCACCCAAAGCCACACCCTCACACACACTCACAGCCCCACACCATATTTAAGGGAACGTAGACTTTTTAAGTTAACATTTTATCATATCGATTTTGGAAACAAATGGATACGCTGAACGTATGTGCTATACAAGAACGAATTTTATTTCACGAAAGAAAGAGTGGCGATATTAAAAACATCCTACCTTTTTGAATTAGAAACGGATAGTTCAGTTCACTATTCTAGATCTAATCACATGTATTTCGAGCAGTAGTCTCAGTTATTGATGGCACTATATATACTTGCAGCTAGAAATGTATTCAAATGTCTGTTATCAATACAAAAGAGAGAATCAAATGCATGTAGGCACGCTACTAAAGCTTAAGGGAATCAATATACGTATATATGTAAACGCGTTCCCATGCAGAAGCGAAACTAGCCACATTGAAATGTGTTCAACTGAATACTGTTCCTAGTAACGGACGCATTCTGACGCAAAGACGAAACTATTCGCGTTGAGAAGCGTTTCGTGACTAATACCGATTCGCATTTGTATGTATGTTAATTAAAGGACGCGTTCGGACACCAGAAGTGCTTCGTAACGTGTTCAGACACTGATATAATGAACGCGTTTCGGTGCGTTTGGGACTACTTCAATCTTAGGCGCGTTTAAACGCGTCAAAATGCCACTGTTTGCAACATTAACGCGTCTAGACGCGTCAAAAGTGCGTTTTTCGATTACATGAGCATAAATTACTTTTTTACTCTTGACTTTGCGTCCGATTATTCTTCATCTGAGATGAACCGAGCGTAGTCGAATAATAGGTTAGTTGTTTATAATCGTGTTTCTGGGTCTGAAGTCTTAAGTTTGCGAGTGGTATGAATTAGAAGAGATTTGAGTATATGGCTTATGCGCACGATCGAAATTTGTAGAACAGACGAAAACTCAGCGTTTTCACACTTTTGTCTTCTCATAGGATTTGACTAATTAGGGCTTTTCGTTACTGTTAACCGGAAACTTTGTTCTAGCCTGTATTCGCCGATGTTCGATATTTTGGAACGTGCTGGCAGTAATTGGTTAGTGGGTGTGACGATTTCTGATAGAAGAGAAGCTAGTGTTGATGGTATTACACTTTATTTGATATTTCTTCTTTTCAAGAATCGCATCGTTTACATACACCACACGCGTTTATATAAGCAACCAAGAAAGATAGAGAAGAGGAAGACAGAACAGAAAGAGATACAGATAACAGGAAGGATAATAGTCAGAAAGAACTACTATGGCGATATCGTTACGGTGGAGTGTAGAAATTTCGCGTTTCTGCACGTTTTCCCACTAATAGTGTTTGACTGCCTATCGCGGTTCCCGGCTGGCAGCCAAATACGGCTTCAAAAATAGGGTTAACACGCATTTGGATTTATCAGGCAATCCTGCCGTCAGAAATTCGATGCGTAATGACATTTACCGTTTTCATGGTTAATTCTGCTAATAGTGTTTAGCTGACAATCGCTGTTCCAGATTAGCAGCCAACAACGTTCGAAAAATATAGTCAAAAAGTAAACCTCTTTTTTGATGCGCCAATGTGTTTATGAAAAGTTTCTTATGTATAATGCAAATGTTTGGCGTTTTCATAATGCATTATCTTCATCGTTTTTAGATGGTACTCGGGGACCTCGATTAGCATCCAAAAACGGTATAGAAAACGATAGTGTTTAAACGCGTGTTTGAAAAGTTTTGTCTGTTTGGGTATCACTCAGAAAAATAAATACCCTGCTTCGTACGAGAATCGAAACCATGATATGATAACTGGTTATCCGAACCAGTGCTTCAACCATTGAGCTAACGAAACACAACTAACACATCATTTATTCTCCTAATAATATTTCAAAACATCGAAAGTCAAGGGAAGTAAAAATCATTCTCATATAGTTATACATACTCCTTTCAGTTTGTTCACAAATATATTCACCCTCGAAAGGGGAGAATAAAAATCAACATCTTCACTTGTTTAAAAATAGAAGTCGCTATATCCAAGTGCGTCGTACACACCGTGGCGACGTTAAATATTTCGACGTTTTGAAATATCATTCAGAGAATAGATGATGTGTTAGTCGTGTTTCGTTAGCTCAATGGTTGAAGCACTGGCTCGGATAACCAGTTATCATATCATGAGTTCGATTCCTGTACGAAGCATATCATTTATGTTTTTGAGTGATATTTAAAACATCGAAAATCAAAGGAAGTAAAAATCATTAACATATAGTTATATGCGCTCCTTTCTATTCTTTCACAAATTCCCGAGACTCAACGAGATTTTTATTGAGAATTGCCTAGATTGATTTCATATAACCGTGTATACAACCGGGCAGAGCGGACACAAAGGTGAAAGGCTAAGTCTCGGTCAAAATTTTAGTTTTTTCACTTTTTCGATCGAGACTGGCGGAGACTCGACCTTTCACCTTTGTGGCCGGTCTGTCCGGTTGTATACACGACTATATGAAATCAATCTAAGCAATTCTCACTAAAAGTCTCGTAGTCTCGGGGATTCTTACAGGAGAAAAAAATCTCATCTTTTTTAGAGAATCTTCAATCTCGGTATATCCCTTCTACCCACCAATCTATGCTTTTTCCATCGATGAGCACAATCCCTAGCGGACATCGCTCACTACTCCACGGGACATCGATGGGACATCTCTATTATGTCCCATCGATGTCCAATGGAGTAGTCAGCGATGTCCGCTAGGAAATAATGATTTCCGCTGGGAATAAGGTTCCTAGGCTAAAAAATAACTGAAAAATAAACGATATCCCATCGGATAGTGGGACATCGCAGCGATGTCCCATAGAAGTGAGAACTGTTTTCGTGTATTGAGAGGTCGTACTGATTGAAAATTGTGCAAGCAACATTTATTGTTTTGGAAATTGGTGTTTTTTTGCGGAAGCGATTTCCGCTAGGAAATGGTACGATGTCCTTTTTTTAAGTATATTGGTAACTGCTGAAGCTTTGATCATTTTTCACCCTTTTTGATTTTCTCTGAGCTTTTAATTACTCAAACAAGGATTTAGAAAATGCTCAAATTTTTGGCAGGATTTGGAATAAAAAAATCCTTGACGTTGTATATTTTCAGTGACCAATGAACAATGAGCACAGTTGTGGACCAACATTGTGCCGCAATTCGAGAGCAAGGAGCCACTATTAGTATCCAACAGCTCAAAACATCATTTGATGCATTCGTCTCCGAATTAAAAAAGGGCGGTACTTTCTCTGTAGATATCACAGTAATCAAACAAATCGTTTCCATATTGGTCAATCTCCCACACAAGAGTAAGCAGCTTGCCGAACCCCAACTTATCGCGCATCACTTTTTGACCATTCTACGTGACTGTATCCTTGTCGATCAGCTTTGTCACAGACAAAGCAAAGATACTGCACATGATCTGTTGACTGATGTATCTATTTTGTTTGCAAACGTTTGCCGTTATATCAATGATACAAACCTTTACCTAATCAAGCAACTTCTTATTCATAAACCTTTAATTAATGAGCTCGCCAGTTGTTTCGAGGAGATGAGCATAAGTGGCAAGCATTTGGACGATCCTCGTCTCCTCAGTTCAATTAATTTCCTACTAACTGCATTTCAACGCTTCGAAAAGAAGGAAATCGAAACAAATGAATGTTCTCTTACGACACCATTGTTCCTTGCTGTTCTCAAACTTGTGTGCTCTTCGTATGCCGTTGACATGCTCACACGATTGGAACATAATTTTTCACAGAAGCTCACTGAAGGACAAACACTTCTTCTTAATACATGCCCGTTATATGTGTACTGGTTTTCAGGCAATCGTAAACCTGAACTCGCTCTTCAAGTCACACGATGGTTACTGCGTCCGTTCACTGCATGGATGACAAGTTGCCATCCGGATTCCATCATTTACTGCTCTCAAGAGTTAGGAGACATGATGCGTCACCTAGCTTTTACTCTTGTTCGTCCTATCGAATGGGAAAATGCAAACGGTTCAAGTGAAGAATTTTACGATGACTATTGCAAACGAGTTTCGCACTGGTCATCATTCTTGCCAGTAATAATTAGACATTCTTCTGATGAATGGAGTGGTATGTCAATTGCAAGATTCATCGTTCAGGATTTGTACAACTTCACACTGCATCCGAGCGTACTAAATTTCATGAAAAGCATACCTACTTTGATACCCATGTTGCTTAAAATGACTGATGTTCAACAGAGTGAAACACAATTGAATGCTTATCGTTGTTTGGGCAAGCTCATGACAGAAGAAGACATCAAAACCATGGCGAATCCGAGTAAAATTGCGATGATCTACGTCAAATTTCTCATGAATGACATCGATGATCCAAAGACAAAAGAACGATTTTACAGTCTACTACAGAGTTTGAAAAGTAAGTTACAATGCTTTGTGTGTCTTACCTGTCCAAGTGGTGATACTCCTTCAAATTTTCTTAGACTGGGTCCAACACGATCAGGTGAAAGTCCATTTGATAAATCAGAAGGCTCTTCCCCTACTTGTGCGATGTGTAACAGAAACCAAATTCGATCCTATCAAAGAACAAGCGGCAGCTCTCGAAATTCTTCTTGCTCTCTCCTTCAATAACGACGCTGCTTCTGCTCTAAGACAGAATCACCATTTCATGACTCATGTTCGAAGTGTGTCCAACAGTATCATATCTGATCAATCAAGACTACAACGCGCTGCCGGAGGTCTTCTCTGGAAATTGGAGAAAGAAACAGAGGCTGTCGCCAAACCTGCCATTTTAAACTCGTATCAACACGACATAATGATGAGTTATTCGCACAGTGACAAACAATTGTGCTATCAAATTCATGAACAACTTGTCAAAGATGGATTTCGTGTATGGATCGATCGAGATCATATGCATGGAGCCACAATGATTGCTATGGCAGATGCTATCGAAAATTCAGACATTGCTATCATCTGCATGTCAGATGCGTACAAACAAAGTGTCTATTGCCAATCGGAAGCTCATTATGCATTTGAACGGCGACGTTGTCTCATCCCACTAATCATGAAACCTCACTACAAGCCCGACGGATGGCTCGGTATTATTGCAAGTGGCAAGATCTATGTCGATTTTGCCAAGATTGAATTTAATTTAGCCTATGAAAAATTGAAGAATGAAATTTCTCAACATCGTCATCAGCATACGAGTCAGCCAACGATAAAAACTAAAGAAAAAAATCATCAGGATATCCCGTCGATGATTCCCATACCAGTTGATGAAGCTTCGAAATCGGGCGAGCAATATCCGATCGTGTAAGTTTCATTTCTTAACTCATAATTAGAACTCTGATCGAGCAGCAAGTTGTTTCTGATACCTAACCTAGCTATAACGTTGAAAAATCATAATCCCGTTTTTGAGGCAATACTTATGAAAACTGTATCAATGTGCTTTCTCCGAAACGGCCGATCTCAGTTTGCATCCATTGTGATCTTTTTACGCGTTCTAAAACATTGACAGTACTAGTAAGTGGCAAATTCCACTTGGGAATAACTACTTGAATGTCGATGGTTTCCGATTGAGGACAAACAATTTCTTTCTTTCTTCAAACAAAAACTGATGATATTGAATGTCAGTTTAGTCCACTGTAAAGAACAGCGACGTAAAATCTTTCACAGTTTCATTTCATATTTCATGAATAACGTTGATGGAGACTTGAAAACTCATCTAAGTATTCTATTCTATGATGGAAGTTTATTCATTTGTACAGCGAACTACCCCATTGCATCAGCCAATGGACTCATGATCATGTCAAATCATTTTTTGTTTCAATCGGGCTCAACAAAACCCTGCTTTTCTTATGTACTCGCATGGATGGTCATCATCTTCTTCAGCTGTACGAAATGTGTATGATAAATCCCGAGTCAATGTACCAATCACTAAAAGCTGAACTGGCCGAAGGACATCATAAACTATTGCCGATAGCTGATTATCTCACTTTTCTCCACGAGATAAAACTATATGTCCGACGCAATCTGCTTCGGCCTCTTCCATGATCTGCAGTATTATGTAACTTCATTTAGATTCTACATTCTCTGTGAGAATAAACGATAAACATGATGAAAAGCTTATCTTGACAAACATCGATTGATGTTTTCGAGGGTGTGGGTCTGAATGGTTCTCTCGTGAACTTCGAACCTCTCTTCAAATCATTCGTTGAAACAAGATGAATGTTTTTTACGAATATGGAGGAGATGGTGAAAGTAATCAGATCGGTTAATGTGAGGTGGAAGTTGAATCGTCTTGAGGGTGTGCGTGTGGATGGTGTACGTGGGTGGGTGTGGGTGCGGCTGCGGATAAAGACAAGACTAAATCCCACACCCACTAATGTAAATCCTGACAAATGAAACAAGCTATTATTTTTACACAAAAATATATTATTCTTAAAAGAAGTTGATCGTCAACAATTACTAAATGCGCAAAAAAAAAATTACCTGCGATGTCAACATCATCATCTACAACAACAAAAGAGATTCGGACTTTTGATGAGGATCTGTTTAGTGATGAAGATATTATAAATAAAGAAAGTGATATATTTATTGAAGGCGATGAACAAGCATAAAAACGACATGTTAATTTTGTTTATGATGAAATAAGTGCTATATATTCTAGGTGTAACTCAAACATGTTATTCACATTAGTTGATTTGTTTTCAACTTCATTTGTTATGTGCACTTGCAATAACTCCCTAATTGCAAAGTTAAAAATAGCCAAGAAATTTTGAAACAGAACACAGAAAATATTATACATTGACCTGAACTCTTCAATATTTAGATTCCTAGCTGAATACAAACCGGATCTGAGAGTAAATCACATATGAACCCGGATCCGGATGAGATTAGTTTTCTGGACCCGCTGCTCTCTAATACTATCAATCCTCAATAAAATTCAAAATATTTTATTTTTATCAAAAAGGTTACTAGAGAATGTGATAAAATGGGAAATTTTCTGCATTTTAATACACGATTCTAAACAAAAGAGCGGATAAGTAGCGATAAGAAAAGTAAAATTGTTGATTGTTCGAGAATTATAAACAACGATTTTTTATTTGGTTTTAATTGCAACTCTTTATTATGAATGAATTCTTCAATGATCCATTTAGTAACAATGATTTTCACCCTTTCTTATTTCAAAATTTCTTGTTTATAATTATTTCTTATAAATTCCAAATTTACACTGTAGTTTATTTCTTAAATTTCACTTCTCATTACACGGAACCGAAATAAAATGACACAGTGGAGAGCAAACTGTAAGAATACAGACGAATTTGCATAATCATATAAGTACAGATAAAACAGCTCTTCATACGAAGATCTCGAGAATAGTGGTTTATTGATTCGTCTCTCTTGACATTGAGTTAATTTCGAATGCTTGTATTCTTTGAGTAAGCAATTCTTGAAACAATTCATCATATCTCTTCTTATATTCATTTATGCGAGAATGACTAACAGATGTATGTTGCAATTGTTTAAACGCCAATCTTGCATAATATGTGGCGCTGTCCAGTTCACCGAGTAATTGAAGTACACATGACATTTTATAATAACTTGTTGCTCTTGCTGGATGAGTGGGCACTAAATGCTTCCGTTGCATCAATAAAGCCTTTTGATAGTATTCAAGGGCTCGATTATAATCTAACATATCGAGATATGAAGAAGCAATGTTGCTATAGCTTTCTCCGTACTTCCATTTTTCAATCGAGTGATATCGGTGAAGGCGAAGTCTTAAACAGGCGCGATGTTTAGTCAAAGCATCCTCAAACTTTCCTTCTCTTGAAAGAACAAAAGCCAGGTTGGTAAGATACCGTTCTGTAACATCAAATGCTGTCAAGAGAAAAACAAAAATATTTATATTATGATTTATTTTTCAAAGATTGCTTCTAGAAAATCGGGTGGTACAACTATAGTTTAGGCACGCCGCGGCACCCAAACTCTTTGATCTTCATGTGGAAAATTAAATCAATGAATACGGAGAATATACCTAAATTGCAGTAGTGTCAATTTGTTTCTCTATGTTTTTTTTCGTTCTCTGGATTATCTAATCATTCTTCATCGAGTATTGCGATTATGTAATCGAGTTAGGTTTCTCCCTTTGCTATTGATTGATATACGCTCTTCTTGTTTATCAATACATATTTTCCTTCTTCATTATTAATACATTCTTCTTCTCCTCTATTATGCTCGTTATTCTTGCTTGGTTGTTGTCTCCTTTCCTCTCTTTCAAATTTAAAACAAGCTCTTGATTTATTAATTCAAAACAGCATTGTCCGATAAGAATGCTTTGTATTATCTATCAAGTGAGACTCTTCGTACTCGCTGCAGATCGGGATCACAATTAGATATATTTCTAGCCTATATCATGAGGGTGAAGCAAAAGTCTAAACCCCCTTTCAAATGAGTCTCAAATGCTGACGCAGGAATTGATGATCGTATTCGTTCACTGGTTTCTCTGAGTTAAGGACAGTTCTGTTCGAAATTTTTTTTTATTTTTATTACGCGCTATAATACCCTATGACCCTGACGGTCCTAAATGGACAGTTTCTCTTGAAATAACGAGCTGTAAACAGAAAACTGCAACGAAGAAAAGAGAAGAAGAGCTAAATAGAACAAGTTCTGTTCGAAATTGAATGAATGCAGCACTCAGATTTGTCTCCAAGTTCCTAATACTTTTCAGTGTTTCTCTACATAACCTAGTCCGTATATCTACGCCAGGGTACCTGAAAGCATGATTTTCATCAATTTAGCATGTTTCTCTAGACAAAATAAGCATATGCATGCGTCTTTTACTAAGGCTGAAGACTATTTTAGTGTAGAGTGATGGTTTTTATTGTTCTTTTCAATCAAAATTTATTATAATATATTTATCATATATTATGAACTTGCTCTGACATTGACAAGTGTTATGATGACAGAACTCAATCATTGTTTAGAATTGTAACTTACTGTCAATATTATTTTATTATTTATAGGATAAGTGTTATACGCACTTGAGAGAAAACAATTTGCCAATCCTTTGGACAGTGCGTTTATACTATTACTAAATGATAATGTCTATACTCGAAGAAACGTTTTTGCATATAAAAGGTTGACATATGAATCCGTAGTCCAACCAAGTTTTCAGCTCTTTCATATATTCATATCAAGACAGAAAATCACATAGAGAAATAGTAAGAATAACTAAAAAACTGTAATTTTATTGTTACGAGTGGAAAATTGAAAATAGTACAAGTTCATGTACCGACTGATCTAATTCGATTTGAATATTTCTATCGTCCATGACATTGATAACAATGAAAAGCCCCTAGTTAAAGCTCTCGTTTATGATCAAAGACTCTTGCCTTCAAATACCTAAATGCTTTTTGTTTCACGCTACTCTTGATCCAAAGAAAGGAAGAAACAATCCCTTACGATGTTTCGCCAATATCTTGTATTTGTCTATGTTAAATTTAACTGTCTATCATTTTGTTCAAAAATCAACCGTAAGATAGGTACCCTTCAAAAAAACCTCATTAATCTCGGCTTGGTTCGGATAAAAACAATGAAGATGATGAAGAATAGGTGCTATGCGCTGGTTTTTAACATCAACTACTTACAATCTAGTCTCCAAGCATTCGAATCATGTTCATCCTTCAATCGTTTAGCACTAAGAAATCCTTTTTCTATGTGATCTCGAGCTTCGTCGAGTCGGCCCATCTGTTGTAGAGTATGACCCAAATTATAATGAAGGAACGGCGTCTGTAGTTTGCCATCTGAGATACAAAAATTATTGGTTCTTTTTCTGATTAAAAAGAAACTTACCACGTGAATTGGGAGGGAGGTATTCCAATGATTGGCAGAAATGTCGATAGGCTCGCTCTGGATCTCCTTCTTCATCGAATATTCTGCCTATTTTAAAATTTAAATAGGCCGTTTCCAATCGATCTTCGATGCTTGTAGTTTCGAGGAGTAATGTATACATCTCTTTTGCTTTTGAATATTGTCCCATGAGAAATAACATTCGAGCTAGACGATGAAGAATAGTTGGCTCAGAGAAGATCGATGTACACAAAGTGTCGTACAATAATGCTTGATCACGATGTTTCTCCTGATTCGTAGATGACAGATATAGGTGAACTTTCCATTCATTGTTCTGAATACATTCAACACTATCAATTCGAAAAACAGTACCCATTTGAAAAAGACATTCTTCTTCATCTGGATTCTTGCTAAATATTTTAATATCAGCAAAACAACGCTTTTCAAAAGCTTCATTGCAGTGTATTTCAAATAGAATGCTAACAATTGTCGGATCTCGCAACACAAACATCTCAGCTACTTCCAGACAACGACTAGTCGATAGAAATTCATGTATCCAAAGAAGACCACCAACTCTTTTTCTGATTCGTCCCTCAAAATCTGCTTTTGACATGCCTTGACCACGATACAACGTTATGTCAAAAGTATTTTCTTTTTTCATATTGTCCTGGGCAATTTTCGATAACTGTTGATTTAAATCGCGAATGAAGAAACGTAAATTGAAAAGTAAATCAAAATCTTGTTCACGTAAAGCTTTATTCAGCTCTTCATAAAGAAATGTATTCGTCGTATACCAATAGATAGCTTTGTCAGGACGATAAGTCCTTTTAAATTGCTTAATGATATTTAATCTGGCTCTGTCATTAGCAAAACGATTATGCGAATCGTAGAAAAAATCATCTCGTTCATTTTTATAAATAGGTGCCTTGAGAAAAATATCTCGAATGAGACTCCCAAAAACAAAAGATATTTCCATACTTGATCCGACATCGTGATCGTCGTCTATTGTGCCTTGATTGGCTGATGTTGTTGTAAAATTCACTGGCTTAAACCAGCGCAAGATACGAACATGCTCCTTTAAATCGTTCGCTAGTTGAATAATGTCTGTAAATATGCCCTTGAATCGATGAATGTTCGAAATTTCAGACGTTTCCGGATAATAATTTGTACCTGAGTAAATGTAAATCGCACCGATTTGTTTAAAATCAAGAAGTATCTTAACCAAAAAGGTCATATCATTAATTGGTCTTGCAATAACAAGAACCATCGGTTTTTGATTTGGGCTTGTAATATGATCAATGCATCTATCGATGTCATGAAATATTTCTAAGTGACTGAAAATACCTTGAAGCAAATTACTTATATGACTCTTATTTAAATTAATTGTACTATCCGATGTTAACCAAACCAGAGGACATTGTTCTTCAATGCTAAAAGATACTTTCAAAAAGAGATTCAGATTAAAAACGAGAAATTATTAAGTGAAGTATAATATCAATCCTACAGTCATTGCTCGCAACACCAACTTTTGACTTTCGTAAACCCATCTTCAAAAAAGAGACAGTCTTGAATGTTGATTGTCAGTTCTATTAATTCTTACAATCTTAGCTAGAATGACGCATCGTATCATACGACTTTTAGCTATCTACAATGGAAATTAACGCATAATCCTTCGCGACATAAAAGAAGCAAGAAGCATAATTATAAAAAATCATTATGAAACACCTTTATGTTATCATAAAATAAAAGAGAGGAGACAATCAAACTTTTCTTTTCCCATTTGATATATTAATTCCAATCTCGCGGATAGATTCTTACTGTTATATACTTAGTCAAGTAATATCTAATAGCGATACGTCGAGAGTGAATTCGTTTATCCACAGCTTTCCTCCAGCAATGCAAGACACAAAATACTGTACTAATCAATGAAAAAATAAGACCAATTGACCCAATGATAGCGACGACAATCCGTAACCAAAATTTTGTAGTAGCATCTATTGAGGCAGTTTCTAAGATAAATGAGCCAATGCACATCGGAAGTAATCCGATGATAATCCAAATGAGATTAAATCGTGAATAAAATGAGTATAGGCGATTTTGATAATACAAAGGGTAATCAGTTCGTATGTTGCGTCTGAGCATTTTCTGTTACATTGAAATAAGAAAGCTTAAGAAAAAACATAGCTTTAGAAAAATCTTGACGTATTCTCATGGACACTCACATTTTAATCATATTGATAGGATCTATTCATAAAATGATGACTCACAAAGTTGTTATGGAATTTGACAGAAAAATATACATAAAATTAGCTTTTCGTCTACAAGAGTATAGAATTTTTATGTCAGTGTATATTCAAAATTAATGATCTTATAATGAAAGCGTGAGGGCTGCGCAAGTACGGGTACAACTTGTACTAGCATCTATTACCATCTATTACTCCCCAAAAACCTAGAACTCTAGAATTCATGTATTGCCATGTATTCGTATGTACTCGTATGTATTCGCTTGTGCTACCCCCATCTTCCCCCCAGAAACCTAGAATTTAAGAATTCATGTATTGGCATGTACTCGTATGTATTCGGTGGTACTACCCCTCTTCCCCCCAAAAACCTAGAATTCTAGAATTCATGTATTGGCATGTATTAGCATGTACTCGTATGTAATCGCATGTATTCGCTTGTACTACCGCAGTTTTCCCCGAAAAACCTCAGTACTGTCAAATTTGAAAGTTGAATTCAACTGAGTCTTCGACTATCAAGTGTAGAACTTGAAACTTCAGTTTTCAAACTTCAACTTGTGGTTTCAGGTTATTGGCCTTACGCTACACCCTAATCTTTGGTACATATGTTTGTGTGTATGCGAACATATTGCCCTTCCCAGGCACCCACATTTTGGGTACATATGTGGGTGTGTAGACGAACATGTTTCGCTTACATAGCGCTGACATCCGTGAATGTTGAGAGTTCAAAGTACAAAGCTGAATTCAAGTATCAAGTTCAACGCAAATGCGTCTCCCCCTCCCCCTCCCCCCCGCAATAACCTACAAACAGACTATATGTGAGTAAATCCGAGTACATGCCAATACATGAATTCTAGATTTCTAGGTTTTTGGGGGGAAGAGGGGTAGTACCACCGAATACATACGAGTACATACGGGTACAGATGTATCGTCTGTGTTAGTAGCGGAGCTTCGATCCTCTAGGTAAATTGGCGAGTACAAGTTGTACCCGTACTTGCGCAGCTATGGAAAGCGTTTGTTTTCGTTTCTGACAAACGGCAGTAGTAAAAATTGTATGCAGCACTACGAATAAATAAAAAGGTAACCAAGTTTTGTTTTCTGACATCATGACTCACGACTCACTTTTAATGCGTCATTACTTTTTGCAGGATTCATTGACGTACACTTTAAGTAAACGAAACTGGTGGAAAAAATCAATCCACTGCCCAAAACAACGTGTTTTGGACAGGTAGAGATTCAAGAACTGCAGGATACGAAAATTTTGTAACCTGTAACCTGTTGTACTATTTTGAAAGTAGGAAAATATTCAAAACTAACCTTATACGATGCACTTCAAACTTGAACTGGACAAAAATCATACTAAATCTCTCTAAGAGTTGTAATTGAGGAATATCTAGTAGACAGAATTAACTGCATACGATTAAAAGCGATTTTTTGTTATATATGGATGCATTAATCTCAGTAAATTTATCATTCGTCATATATATTATTTCAAAAAATGTCGAAAACATAGTGTTCAAGTATTGGTGTAGGTATCTGTCGAAAAGTGGCACATCATACTTAGTATTATTATTGGAAAAAGTGATGAAATTTATTTAAAAGTTTTCATCTGGTTTGGTCACATTCATGAAGGAAGTGAATGCCTGTGCTATTGATGTTATGATGTGTACGATTTTCGAACGTCTTTCTTAGTCATTTTTTCAGAGTCGTTTCTCAAAAGGAGGCTTTAAGTATCAACTCAATAAATTTTTTGGGAATCATCAGCACGGTCACGAATGTCGATACCAAAAACAATTTTTAGACAACGTGATTGTCTCCTTTGAGTAAGCAATTTCATTGAATACTATTTGGCAGTGTTGATTAGATCTAATTCATAATTTCTTTTGTCTTTTTAATATTTCTCCCAATTTACTTACCAAAAGTAACAAGCAAGTGACGAGAATTATTACATGACTTCAGCAATAGATTGTTTTGCATTGATTATTTCAGTGCATTATAACAATGATTCTTTTATGACTCATCATTCCTTCTTGAAATGCAGCAAGTATGTTTTTTCCAACCGTACAAATTTTAGTTTTCTTTTCTTCCTTCAAAAATATGACAGAATAAACGATGGATAAAAACAGTTACATATGTAAAGAAATCTAACTCACATTTGTGTAGAAAAAGCCAACAGTGAAGTTGAAAGAATCAAATATCATTATAGAGATGTGTAGAGCAAGCATTTTTCGTATCGCGGCCCTACTCTGCCCTACAAAATAAAGTAAGCAAAGATTAACATAAAGATCTCTGATCATGATAATCGAAAATTAGAGTGTGAGGGTGTGTGGGTGTGGGTGTGGGTGTGG